CAGTTGGTCGTAGAAGAGCTGCCTGCTGCTTATCTTCAGGTGAAACACACCATGCCTTCAGAACAGAGGATCCTGGAATACTGGGAGAGCTGGGGACTGGCTGAGCAGCTGGGGTCCCCGGAATATCCGACTGGAGAGGAAAAGATGAATTACTGCCCTCACAGAGAAAGGCAGAACGGAGGAACCACAGTATACCTAACAGCCCTGTACCAGAGCTTCACTTAGGATAACCACTGAATCCCTACAGCGTGTTTTGTTGGCACTTAATGTGGACACGTGAGCTACCACGTTCCTGTCACCATTTGTTCTCTCTCAGCTCTCATGATCCACCTGAGGCTGTAAGAGAACTGGCAAACCAGCAGGAAGTGAGCATGCTTCCACCTTTGTATTTTTGGTGTGAGCCATTAGAACTTGAGCTGTTAGAACTTGAGCTGTTAGAATTGATCTTGCACAGTAAAAAAAAAGGTCCAAGCTCTGGACCCTCTAGGTCTGAATTTTGACATCTTTAAGACTATTTTAACACTCAACTCACCTTGGGCTTTTTCACACTGTTGCCACTTGAGGGAACTTCCTCAGAGAATCTCCTCTTCCTCTGCTTGCTCTCCACTGAGGTCTCTACCATTCCACTTTCCAGTGGCATAGGAGCTGCATTCAATCCCAGAGGGTCTGACTAAGAGCATCCAAACAGCAGTACTCATTAGTTCATCAGCTGTTACTGCAGAGTACCAAAGGCAATAAGTCCTTTCAATTTTCCTTTGCACCACCCCCAGCTCCCAAGCAGACAAAAGCAATGACACTAACACACCTGCAGAAAGCTAAAAACTTAGCTCTTAGACTTGTGTCTGAACCATTTATTTGGTCTGTTAGTTTGAGACTGAGATGAAAAAAATGCAACACAGCTCCCCCACGGCGAGTTTGTTTAAGCAGTGCACCCGAATGAGGAACAGTGCATTGTGTTTCACCAGATCCCAGCCACGCAATGGATGGGGAGAGGAGTTCTGCAGATATAGAAGGCCCTCCCACACAGGCAATGCCACCTCCCAGAGGAATACCCCAGTGTGAGCACAGCCCCTGGACACACGTGCTTACTCACAATGACATCGTGCTGTCCCAGAACAGGCATTTCCCACAGGGACTGGTTGGTGAAGCGATTGAAGTAATACGGGCGATTCTCCCTCTTGCTCCAGCACTTCTCCCAGCCAGCCTGCACCAGCTCATCTGAGCACACAGTCAGACAGGATAAGGTCAGTACTGCAAAGCTCTACCATTCAGGTCCCCATTACCACCCCTGCACACCGCAACAAGCCTCGTTCCTGAACTCTCTCAATAGCCCCACTCCACCTTCCCTTCCCGGCTACTGGGGCCCTTCAGAACCCTGTGCTGGGCTTCCTCAGAAGCAGAATCAGTACCTGGGAGGTCCTGTACCAGTCGCATAGGTTTGGGGGAGCTGGGCTGGTTCTGGTTGGAGGTGCCAGGTGAGTGACTCATTAGAGATGCCTCCTCCGCAGGGCTTCCGTGATTCTCATTGGCCATTTCTCAGCAACCACACTAGAAAAGTCAGACAAAAAATCCACGTCACAGCAGGAAAGATCCCAGAGCCACCTGGCCCACTCAAAGTTAACTGCCAGTAAAATGGGCTTGAACCAGTACATACAAAATAAGACCTAAGTCCTGAAAAATACCACTTATCCCAGATGCACCTACCTCTGAACAGTACATCAGGGAGTTCTTATGGCCAGCACTCAAAATACTCACTTTTCAGCTACTTCCCTCTCCTAGGGCTGCAGTGTCTCATCCCACACAGCAGTGCTGAGAGCACAGAAAATAAAATATGCTTCACTGTGAACGTTTACCATCCCCTACCACAGTAGTAGTACTGGCCATATTTGATCTGCTATCCCTGGTGGCAGTTTAAATTAGTATTTACCCACATATAACCATATGCAATTTAAACAAAAAGCAGTTATTAAAGAACTTCTGCTATACAAAATAGCCCTGCTGCTTCACTAATAACAGCTCTGGTGGCTCACAGGACCACAGGCTAGGAATGAACAACTATGGAATTATTTTCCTCATTATGTTCCAGACATGGACTGACTGTCAGGACTGTCAGGCTGTTTAAGCCTTCGGAATTTTGCATTTACATAACAACAGTTATGCAAAAGAAAGTCTGTTCAAAATGAAACGCTCCTCTTAATCATCGTTTAATACTGTCAGCTGCGGAAGAACAGCCAGGTTTTTCCTCTCATTCACTCTTCTTCCCCCAGGGAAGTTTCTGAAATAGCACTGTTGAGCCAATTACTACAGATTGCTGCAACCAAACCGGGGGAAACGAGGCATTTTAAATAATTACTTCTATCTCCGTTATTTAACTCTATTCAGGCCTTTGGAGATGCCCTATGCAACGTGAGAGCTGCACGCACACAATGCTGTTGTGTACACATCATCCTGCACTAAGTGTGTTTTTAACTGATCTGAACTCCCCATCCTGTCCACGAAAACATCACCAGGCTTTTCAAAAGAACGGTGAGAGCCGAGTTCAAGAACGAGCAGGTAGGTTCTTGCCAGGCTGTCTGCAGCACTGACAGTGAATCGGTGCGACGCAGGGCAGGACTGAGGAACACCTGCTCCTGCCAACTCCTGGGAAGATGTTTCCATCCTTCCCTCGGGGTAAGCATGGAAAGGTGCAGGGTACTGCAGAAACCTGGAATTATGACCTCTGCTCACAGCTACAGAGATAACAACATCCATACCCACAGGCAAAAGCACCTGCTACAAAGACTGCACCAATGCAATCTGTACGTTTAATCACCCCAGCATTGAGTGTTGTGTAATATTTGTTTACTGACACTTCCTCCTGAACTCCAGCCCTCCTGTGACCTCTGCAGTCACACTTCAGGCAGCTGCCACCTGAGCAGCACCTCATTCTCTGCCAGAAAGCTGATCTGAGGCCACGGGCTGCACATCAGGAACCTCATCAAATTCCTGGCAGGAACTTTCTAAAAACGTTCAGCCTCCTCTTCTTAAAAAGGGAAAGTTTACCTGCATTTGCTGGTGTGTCATGCACGTTGCATAGATGATATAGTAACAGTTACACAAGGATGGGAGCAGACCTCCCAGGGAGAGCCACACATGGATTTTAATAATTACAGCTGGCACCAGGTGTCAGAAGGGCAGCAGCTCCCAGCACCTCTTACCACTGACAGCTCTAACCAGTGGTCAGATGGGGCTTCTTATTCTTTATCTCTCCAGTTTATGGATAAACTAGGATGGGGGAAGTCCAAAGCAGCTCTATCACTTTATCAGTTTGGGTGAGTATCAAATCCCAGCAACCTTTAACTCCCCAAAAGAAAAGAAACAAACTAGCCTAACAGAAGGAACTCCATCTTTATGCGCCTAGTGTTGTGACGACAGTGAAAGGGACCCAGAGCAAAGGTTTTACAGCGGTTACGGTACTGCTTTATACACCACACGACGCATACAGTGCTTCGCAGACACAGAACGCCGTCCCTGCCCAGAGAGCTTACAGCCTATAGGAGCAGCAGCACGAACAGAGAGCGCAGCCAGGCGGCAATGGACACGGAGCGCAGCACAGCCAACGTCTGTCAAGGCGGGATTTCACACGGGACAACGGCAAACGCGGACAAAGGAGAGCAGCGACAGCCCCCGGGAACACGGCAGGGTTTTCCCTCAGCCCCGAACCGCGGCGAAGCGGAGGGCACAGCCTTTCTGTGTCAGCCGCTCTCGGGTCGGGGCCGCGCAGCGTACGGAGCTCCAGGGGCAGCCCGCAGCACGCGGGGAGCGCGGCCGGACGGCGTGTGGTGCTGCGGGCGGAGCTCCCGGCGCGGAGGGCCGAGACCGAGCGAGCGCGGAGAGGAGCGGCGGCGACTACGCGGGCGGCCGGCAGCGGTGCGGGGCGCGGCCGCTGGGGGCGGCGCCGGGCGGTACTTACGGGGCCGCGCTGCTGCCGGGCGGGACGCGGGGCCGTCGCTCGGTGCTCGCCGCTAGCGCGCCGGGGCCGCATCCTCATAGCGGGGCGTCCCGCGCCGGGCCCGCGGGGGCCGCTGCGGAGACAGGAGCCGTTAGCGGGGAGGGCCGCGCGGGATGGGCGGCGCGAGCGGAGCGGAGCGCGCCGAGCTGCGGCTGGCGCGTTCTAAGATGGCGGCCGCGGGCCTACGCCGCCTCACCCCGACCTGCCGCCGCGCCGCAGGCCCGCCGGCCTCTCTCTCCGTTGCGGAGACCCCCGGCCGCGCGGGAGCGCTGCTTACCTGGGCGTGAGGCTGGGGGCTGTGGGCACCGCGCACCGTCGCGCTTCCCGCCGCCGCCCCACCTCCGCCTCACCCGCCCCGCCGCCGCCATCTTGCGCCGGGACCGCGGGCCGGCAGCGCGCAGGCGCGGGCCGCCCCGCCCTAGGCACTGCGCAGGCGCCGCCACCGGGACGCCCTCTCGCGCACGCGCATCACCCTCCGCGCCCGGGCGCGCTGGCGGTGCGCTTGCGCGGTGCGCGGCCCGCGCTTTTGTAGACGGAGCGGCGCATGCGCGCGCCGCGACACCGCCGTCTGCCCTGGCGCCATCTTGAGTGTGGCGCGCCGGCACCGCCCCGCTATGGGCAGGGCCGGGCCCGGCCTCGCGGCCACGTCCACCCGCCGCGGGCGGTTCCCATCAGGCGGGGCGAGGCCGCCGGCGGAGCGGCTTTGAAGTGCTTCGCGGGGCGGGGCGGGGCGGGGCCCGCAGCGCTGGCGGCGAGCCGCGGTCGCCCACCGCGTTCCGTCCGCAGCGCCGCCCTTCCGGCACTTAGCGGTGCGGCTCCGCCGCGTGTGGCCGCGGGGCGCGGCGCTGGGCGGGGCCGGGCGGGGCCGCGGGCGCGCAGCCAGGAGCCCGGAGCCGCAGCCTCGCCTGGTGGCCGTGGCTGCCGGGAAAGCGCGGCTCGACACCTTCCGACGGGGGGCGATTCTCCCCATCCGCGGCCCCGACGCCCCGCCCTTTGCCTCCCCCTGCCCGGCCGTGAACTCGCACGGCTTTCCTTCTGCCCGCGGCCGCCCGACCCGCTCGCTCCCGCTGGAGGCCTGCCCTCTGCACCCGGAGCACTGGGGTCAGTGTAATAGTTAATGCTGGCGAAGCAGTTTGGAAGGGATAAGTGCTGTGTAAGCACCCGGTCTCCTAAGTCTCTCTGTTTCCAGAGCGTGAACCCCCACAGCCCGGCTGTGTGTGTGCAGATAATCGCCCCGACCACAAAGTGCTGGCTCAGACCAACTCCGTTCTGCGGGCGCTTGGAGGAGGGGGAAGGAGGGGCTCAGCAGGATTTGTCCGAGGTTCCACGGACGGAAAGCACCAAGCCTTGTCCTTTGGAATGCAGAGGGGCTTGCGGTGAAGCATAGGCAGCGCTTTGTCTCTCCTGGGCTGAGCGGTGCCGCTGTGCTGCACACTGCTGGCAGTGCTGCTCTTCCTGGCCTCTTGGCGATGGGCACTTAATGGATCAGAAAGGGAATGTGGGCATGCTGGCTCACTTCTGCAGTGCCTCTCACAGAACTGAGCACATCTGTCTGCTCAGCTTCTGGAAGCAGGCTGGGGATGAGCCCTGGTGGCTGTGGGCCCTGAAGACCCTGATACGTGCCAGGCTGTTAGAGTGGCTCTGTGGCTCCAGCAACCACAGCAGCTTCCCTGTCTGATGCTCACCTCATAGATGGGCACAAAGCAGTTCCCGTTGTACCTCTGGCCCAAGGGACTTGTGTTCAGCTGCAGCCGTGGCACAGAGCCCACTGGGCAGTGCTGGAGCTGGCAGAGCACGGTGGGGAGTTTAGCACCAGCAGGACTGGGGGTCGGCACTTCCCCAAAATGATGAAGCCACCCTGCGCTGCGCGGCTGGCGTCCCCGAGCCCTTCATCCTCCTGTTTGCTGTGTCTCCTCCCAGCTGTGGGCTCACAAGGGGTGGCGGCTGGTGGGATATATAAACGTAGGGGAGTCTGAGCCAGCTCAGAAGAAACTCCTGGAGCTGCTGGTGTTCTCTCTCCCTCCCTTCACGTGATTCAGTTTCCCCAGACCAGAGAAGCCGAAGACAAGTCATACTGTAAGTATACAAACTTAGCCAGCATTGTGTAGGCGAGCTGCCCCAGTCTGAGCGTGGCCCTCCGGGACGGATGGAGGCTCTGGATCCTGAGCAGAAGGGGTTCTGTCCTCTCCCTTGCAGAGAACTGAGCAGAAACACGGTGGGGAAGCCCTGTGCGGTCCCTGCCATCCCGAAGGCAAGTCTGCCTTTTCCTGCTGGATGAGGAATCTCTGGCTCTGTCCCAGCCCAGCTGCAGGGCATGGGACACAGGCAGTGCTAATCCCTGGGGAGCATTTGGGGCTGCTCCCAGGGCTAGAAAGCCCATGGGAGAGGAATCCCTTCCCTTTGTGGTGCTGGGGTTCCCCATGACACTCACCTCACCCTGCAAGCAGGGGAGCTGGCTGTGCTGGGGAAGGGCGGGATGCTGCTGGTACCGAGGGCAGTGGCTGTCCCCGGGCGGGGCTGATCCTGCAAGCCCACGGAGTCTGTGCTGGGGGCTTGCACATAGCAAGGGGTGCTTGCCCTCTCAGGTGATGGGAACCAGAATACCGTTGTGGGATTTCAGGGTGTGGGGTACAGCAGGGCCACGGGATGGTCCTCTCATCAGCCTCTGCCCGGGCTCCTGTGCTGAGAGCAGGTTTGGGCAGTTAGCCACAACCCTGCCGGGTGGCTGGGCTTCCCCCGTGCGCTCTGCTAGCCCGGTGCATGCTGACCCTGCGCTCTGCCCCCAGGTGCGAGATGGCTGCCGGCAGCCGCCTCCTCCTCCTCCTGCTCCTGCTGCCCTGGCTGGCCGCAGCCTCGCACAGCCCTCCCGGCTGCAAGATCCGGATTACCTCCAAGGGGCTGGACCTCGGTAAGGGGCTGGCCAGGACCCTGATCCCAGGCAGGGCGGGGAGCTAGCTTGCACGGTGGGACCGGCAGGGTGGGCTATGTTGGTAGAGTGCGGTACAGCCTGGCTGTGGGCAGCCCAGGCTCATTTTGCATTGCAGTGAAGCAGGAGGGTCTGCGCTTCGTGGAGCAGGAGCTGGAGAACATCACAGTGTCAGACCTGCACGGGAAGGAGGGGCAGTTCCACTACAACATCAGCCAGTGAGTGCTGCCTGCTCCCTGCGCGCAGCAGCCCCTGGGTCGGCCTTACCGTCCCCTCCCTGGCAGGGTCAAGGTGATGGACCTGCAGCTGCCATTTTCCAACCTGCACTTCCAGCCGCAACAGAACCTCGCCTTCGACATCAACAACGCTTCCATCAGCCTGCGCTTCAGGCGGCAGCTGCTCTACTGGTTCTTGTGAGTTACTTTCCCTTGCCCACCAGCCTGTCCCACAGCTGGGTCGTGGCCCAGGAATGTCACAGGTGCCATGCTGCCCAGTCCTGGAGCTGATAGGATCTGTGTCCTCCTGTCTGTTCCCCTGGTTTCCAGCTACGACATTGGATCCATCAATGCTTCTGCTGATGGTGTCCACATCCATACTGTGCTGCAGCTGGCCAAGGATGAGGTTGGACGCCTCAAGATTTCCAACATGTCCTGCAATGCCTCCATTGCCAGAATGCACGCAGGATTCTCTGGCACACTCAGGTACACTGATGCGATGGTGGCAGCCATGCCCCTATGCCTGGCAAGATGAACTCAGGCCATGCCTCGTGTTTTTGTGGGAATGGAGGTAGAGGGACAGGGCTGGAAGGCTACTGCAAAGCTGTTCTGTCCTGCAGGAAGGTCTATGAGTTCCTGAGCACCTTCATTGTCACAGGGATGCGCTTCCTCCTCAGCCAGCAGGTAGGGCTGTGAGCAGAGATGGGCAGAACTCTCCTGACTGCAGTCAGGAGGGCCTGACTCAGGGATGCTGGAGGCAGCCTGGGTCCTCCTCTAGACCAGGAGTTCTGGCCCCACTGCTGAGTGATTCCCCACAGATCTGCCCATCCCTGGAGCATGCCAGCCTGGTGCTGCTGAACTCCTTGCTGGACACAGTGCCAGGTAAGTAGGATAAGACCAGACCCTGCTCACTGCAGCCTATGCAGAGCTGAGAAAAGGACTGCAGGCCACCCTGTAGGCTTTCTTCTCACAGCACCTCTTCCTTGGCAGTAAGGAACTACGTGGATGAGCACATTGGGATTGACTACTCCCTGCTCCGTGATCCAGCTGTCTCCCCAGAAACCCTCGACCTGGACTTCAAGGTGTGGCACCAGATTCTGCCCTGCCTCTCCCAGTCCTGTTGGCACAGCTCTGCATCAACTCATGCAATGGGCACAGCAAGCTGTGCTGCAGCTGCAGAAACAGTCACTATTCTGGGCCCAGGGCATGTTCTTCTATCGTGCGAGGGAGGACCAGGAGCTGGAGAACCACGCGGTGGAGCCGGTGATCAAGGAGACTGAGCGCATGGTTTACGTTGCCTTCTCTGAGTACTTCTTTGACTCAGCCATGCACGCATACTTCCAGGCGGGTGTGCTGGCCATAGAGCTTGAGGGGGAGAAGGTGAGCAGCACAGTTTGACACTGCACACAGGCCTGCATGGAGAAGGGGCGCCGCCTGGGGGAGGTGGGGTGGGCTCCACACAATTTCAGGACGTGCTGCATGGGCAGAAGCTCTGGCAGCAGTGCCAGCTCTGTTTCCCCTGAGGTTTGTCCTCCCTGCAGGTACCCAAGGACCTGGAGGTTCTGCTGAGAGCCACCTTCTTTGGGACCATCTTCATGCTGGTGAGAGGAGCTTTCTACTGGGGCAGGAGAGGTACAGGACCCCCCTCTGGGGTGGAGCAGTTCTGCCCAGACTGGCTCCCCTGCCCTCTCCCCAGAACCCTGCTGTGGTGGATGCTCCCTTGCGGCTGGTGCTTCAGGTGTCAGCTCCCCCCCGCTGTGTGATCAAACCCTCGGGGACCTCCGTCTCTGTCTCTGCCTTCCTCAACATCTCGCTGGTACCTGCAGACCGCCCTGCTGTCCAGCTTTCCAGCATGGCCATGGTGGGTGCTGCTGCAGCCAGCTTGCCTGTGCCTGCCCAAGTACACAGGGCAGGAGCACTGCACCCCACCTGGGATGTCACCAACATCCTAAAGATAGGAGCAGCACCCAGGCTGTCCCGCTGCCTGCCCATGCTGGCTGCAGCAGGGTTTCCATGCAGCTCACTCTCCCCATAGGAATCAAAGCTGAGTGCCAAGGTGTACCTGCAAGGGAAGGCACTGCGCGTGCAGCTGGACCTGCGACGGTATGGCCCACACTGGGGTCCCACCAGGGCTCCAGGGACAGTCCCCTCTGCCCCAGCTCACAGCTGCTTTCCCTCCCTGCAGGTTCCGCATCTATTCCAAGCAGTCAGCACTGGAATCTCTGGCGGTGAGCAGACCCTGTACCAGCCTGGAGCATGGGAGGGTCCAACTGTCCCGGGTAGCTCCCAGTCACAGCAGGGAGCAGCTCTGGGAGGGCTGTGCAGGATCCCCCTTCATCCACCCTCGAGAAACACAAGCAGGCCCTACCTTGCCCAGCAGCTCTGCACTCATTCTGCCTCCCCTCTCCACAGCTGTTCTCACTGCAGGCCCCACTGAAAACTCTGCTGCAGCTGACAATCATGCCCATCATTAACGGTAAGCATCACCACTGCCTGTGCGTGGCAAGGCTTGAGGCAGTGTCATGGGGCTTACTGCATCTCCTCCTCCATGCAGAGAGGACAAAGAAGGGTGTGCAGATTCCTCTGCCAGAAGGCATGGACTTCACCAGGGAGGTGGTCACCAATCACGCGGTGCGCGAGCAGGACAAGGACAACACCAGCCCCTCCAGCAGACACAGGCACCGTGTCCTGGCAGCTGTAGGCACAGCTAGTCCTGTGCCAATACTTCTTTCCTTTGCAGGGATTTCTCATAGTGGGAGCTGATCTCCACTTCTCCAAGGGGCTGCGGGAAGTGATAGAGAAGTACCGCTCCACCCCTGCAGTCCCTGCTGAGCCCACAGTGCAGCCCACAGCAGCCAACACAGACCCCCACCAGCTGTAGCTCTGCTTACTTGCTCCTTCACCCTGGACAAAGGTCAGATCCTGGGCTGGACCCATAGGCTGTAGGTAGGAAGCAACATCCCCAATACCACTCACACATCCTGCAGGGCATCTGCACCCAGGTGGGCAGCAGCAAGGTGGAGACAGCTGCTCTGGGAATCCCTGTTGCACCCCTTCTCGTAAACTAATAAACCACTGAATGCTAGCTTGCACTGCTTTGTTGCTTGGAGGATGAGCCCACTCCAGACCACATAGCTGCCAGCTCTGGGGGAGAGCTCTCCGCCTGCTTTTGGGACGGTTTGTTTTCAGGAAGCCCCAGTGCCCTCCGCAGAAAGGGAAACACAAACTCTGGCTCCCAAGGACACCGTGCGCAGCACATTAGCACTCACTGCTGCTGGAGCCTCTGTTAGGAACCACTATTGAGACAGCAAAAGAAAGCAAAGCAGGGGATAGCAGAGAGGTGCAAGGAGTTCATTAATGAGGAGCAGGACCACCTTATTCAGAGTTTATTGTGGGTTCCCAAGAGCACTGTGTGACCTAGGCAGTGAAATTGTCTTCATTGTAAATTGCCTTTCACTGAGGTCAGGTTGGGAGTGGTTTCAAAGGGAGCAGAAAGCCCTTGCAGGGGAGCCCACGGCCACCACATCAACTGTGCTTAGCAGAGAGCAGCTGGCTCCGAGCCTGCCCAGGCCACATGTGTACAGAGGCTGCAGGACAGAGGGAAGTGGTGAGGACTGCTCCCAGCCTACAAGGAAGTAGTTGCCTCCAGAAACAGGGAGGAGGTGAGACAGGAAGCCACAGCAAAGAGACAGCTGCAATGCCCAGCAGGGATGGCATCCCAAGGACTCCTCTCCCTGCACCCTGCAGAAAGCCCGCCTCTAGGCTAAGCATAGCCCTTGGGGCCCGGGGAATCCCTGCCGGCTGCAGTCGTCACTTTGTTCATGACACAGAGGAGCCCTGGTGCAGCCGAGTGGCAGTGATGAGCTGTGCAGGAGGTGACTGTTGTACGCAGGCAGCCCAAGGCCCTGGGCACAGCCTCCCCAGCTCCTAGTACGGCTCATTCTTAATGAAACGGCTGAACATGGTGAAGGCAGCGAGGGGCTGGTCTGTAGGCACCATGTGGCCGGCTCCCTGCAGGAAACAGGTGCCAGCAGTCAGTGCCCTCCGTGGCTCCACTACCGCCTGGCCCACGGCTCCAGTGTCAGCCATGAGTGACCACAGTGGGACCAACTGCAAGGCACCACCTCAGCCCTACCTTAACAGTGAGGAACGCAATGTTGGTGAACTCTTTCACGAAGCCCCCGATCTGGTTCTCACCTCCTTCAGTGTAGAGCCAAGGTCGGCGAGCCACCTGCACCTGGGAATAGAGACAGCACCCTCGGTGCCCAGCCCCACAGACCCCACCGCTTCCCCCTGTATCTGGGCTGATCCCTGGATCAGCCAGGCCTCACTCTGCCCATTTACCTTCTGGCACAGGGAGTCCACGAACCACTCATCCCCAAGGAAATTGCAGGCCATGTCGACATCCCCATTGTACACCAGGATTCTGTATTTCTGCAGAGCAGGAAGAGCATGAGCACCGCACAGGGCACGGCCCTATGTGGGAGGGCTGCTGCCATGGGCTGCGTGCTCCCCCACACATACACACCATGGCTCCAAGAAGTTTGAGGTACTGGTCATTCATCTGCGTGTACAGGCGCTTGTAGCTGCGGTTCACCTCGAAGCTGCAGAAGAAGCAGCAGTGAGCTCAGCAGCTGCTTGTGCCACACACTCAACCCCGCCTGTGTCTTGCTTACCTGCACACCTGCCACTCTGGGGCATCGGGGGAGATGTGGAGAGCCTTCCTCACTTCTGGGGAGTTCAGATACATGGTCGGTGCTGTGGAGTTGGTGCACGGTGGGTCCATCCGCACCTTATTGCGGGCTACAGGCATCCGGAACAGGTTCTGGGAGAGTTGGGATAGCCCTGCAGCAGCACCTCAGCACTGCCCACAGGGAGAGCTGCCCCATCCCCTACTGTGCAGGTGGAGGGTGCTGGCAACACACTGTGACAGGGACCCACACTCACCTGGCGCCAGGAGAACCTCATTGGCATCCGGATGAAGGAGTTTCCCAGGTCATGTGTGACGAGATAGTCACCCTCATACCTGCAGGCAGACCAAGCACAGCCACAGGGTGAGAGCTCTGGAGGAGCAAGGGCTTGGGATAACGGCCCCGGACCCACCACCAGGAAGAAGTGGCCACAGAAGCAGTGTCTCTGCCAGCCCCCTGCTGCTGGTAGGGATCTGCATGCTGCTTGTGATTAGGGATAGCGCTGCTGCTGTCGCCACTCTCACCTCATGCTTCCAGGAACACCGCCAGCACACGGGGCGTAGAGATTGTAGATATTGAGCCCAGACTCCTCTACAATCTCAATCATCTCTGCCATCTGCAATGAGCCACAAGCAGGACGGGCTCAGGACTCAGCTTGAAGGACCACAGCACACACCCAACACCAAGCACAGCGCTGCTGCTTGCAGGAATTGGAGCAGGGCTCGGGGATTCCAGCCTTCCCTCACCTTAAGCGTGCAGTTCAGGTTGGAGTTGTCATGGAAGTTGCACTTCCCTTCAGAGCAGCAGAAGGCCTGCAAGTCCTTCCACAGCCTGCAGGCAGAAACCAAAAGTTGGAGTGATCCACCAGAGCCCACCCTGCTCTGTGCCACAGGGACCAGCAGCACTCCCCCCAGCAGTGCTCCCCGCTCTCACTGGGTGCCCAGCAGGCCATGGTAATAGGCGAAGTACACCAAGGAGTTGTCATTGATCTCATAGGAGGAGAGGCCATTTCCCACAGCGATTCCCTGCGGGGCAATAAGAAAACAACTCTGTGGTGTGGCAGCTCCTCACAGGGCAGCCACAGAGCATCGGCGTCAGGCAGGAAGCAGATGTGGCTCTGTTTACTTCATGGGGGGAAGAGGAAAGGCCATGGGCGCCTGGGAGCACTCCTCAGTCTCACGCAGCAGAACACGTTCACCGCCAGCACCCAGGGAGATGAAAGGCTGTGGGGCTGGGGCTGCCCCACGCAGCGTGCTGAGCCCCAGCAAGGCCATGCCCTCACCTTGAGGTTAAGGCTGGGGTCCTGCATCACCCACTCTGCCAGAGTGGGGATGTAGATCCCGCCGTAGCTCTCCCCCGTGAGGAAGAGGTCGTTCTTGGAGTACTCAGGGAAGAGCCGCAGGAACTCCTTCAGCGCCAGGTAGTTGTTGTGTGCGACCTGCAGGGACAGCAGATGGCACCAGCGGGGTGGCACTGGGCCAGCAGCTCCGGGCTGGGCCTGCAACAGCCTCACCACTCACCTCGGTGTCGTTGGTAGCATACTTCTTGTCCTCGGAGTATGAGAAGCCAACGCCTGCAGGGGACTCCAGGTAGAGCATGTTGGCAATCTGTGAGGACAGCAGAGGGGCAGGGGAGCATGGAAGTCCAGGGAGCTCCCGGCACAGAGGGCCAACGGCCTTCACCTATGGCACCATTTGTGTGTGGCCCACCCCAGTGTTGCAATGAGAACCTCATCCCTGCTCTACAGTGAGCTGGAGGGGAGGGGGGCAGCACAGAGCAGTTCAGAGCCATGGTTCCCCACAGCTTGGGTGGGGCAGGAGCCGCTCCCTGCTGCGGCAGGGCCCATACCTTGTTCCAGGCGTAGTCATTGTACTTCAGCGTGACCCCATCGGGCTGCACCTGAGGAGGGAGTGGAGACTGATAAGCGGCACAACACAGGGCCCAAGACACCGCCCGCATCATGGAGCCCTGCAGACCCCAGGCAGCTGTGACCACTGACCAGGAAGGGGCCGTGCTCTTTCAAGAAGCCTTCCATGGAACTGCAGCCAGGGCCCCCGTTCAGCCATAATACCAGAGGGCTGCTCTGCGGGTTGTTCTGGGCCTCCACAAACCTGCGGGGTGAGTGATGTGAGTATCCAGTGCCCAGCCAGCACCGTTCCAACGCACCAGTACCACGTCCCAGCCCGGCCCTACATACCAGTAGTGCAGGCGCTGTGTCGGCCCGATGCACAGGTGCCCCGAGAAGTGGCGGAAGGACGGCTGCTTGGGCAGCCCGGGCAGGAACGTCACCTCATGGCCCGCGGGCGCGGCGTGGGCCGGCCCCAGCCCCAGCAGCAGCGCGCACAGCAGCGGCAGCATCTGCGGAAGGCACAGAAACGGCGATGCCGAGGGCCCGGACACGCGCAACGAACCGCACCGAGCTCCGCCGCCCCGCACCGATGCGGCGCCTCTCGCCGGTCCCGACCCTGCCGGCACAGTCCCAGCGGGATCACTCCCTTCTACCACGCCCGGTGCCGTACGCCGCTCACCCCGCACCCCGATCCCGCAGCGCCCCGCAGCACATGACCCGCGCCCATATGACCTCCGAGCGGTCACGTGCCGTTGGGCGGGGCTTCGAAGAGGGAGCGGGGACAGCCTTAGCCAATCGGCGCGTCGTTTGCGGCAGCTGGCCACGCCCCTCCCTCCACGCCGCGCGCGCACGTGTGAACGAACCGGCCGGCCGCGCCACGCACCGCACTCAGGCGCGGCGGCTGCACCGCCCGGGTGCGAATGCCGCGCGTGGGCCCACGCCGCCCCGGGGCTGTCGCAGTAACCCCGCACGCCCCCGCGCCTCGTGGACACCGCGGGGCACTACGAGCGGGCACGGTCCCGGAGTTCCCCGACGTAGGGCGAGGAGCGGGGAGCCCAGGTCCCCGTCCCTGTACAGTCCCGTCCCGCGCAGCCCCGTGGGCAGCACCGGACACCCCGCGCCGCCGCCCTCCCGCGGGGCCCCGTGCGTTAGGACCGGCCCCAGCCACCGCCTGCCAGCAGCTGCCCGGCGCCGCGCGGTTAAAAATAGCGGCGCGGCCATGGCGGCTCCGGGCCACCCTCCCACCCGCTTCCACCGCGTGCACGGCGCCAATGTGCGCCTGGACGCCTCGCGCACACGGGCCACGCGGGTCGAGAGCTTCGCCAACGCGCTGTGCTTCAGCCACGAGCCGCTGGCACCCGGGCAGATCTTCCTGGTGGAGATCGAGGAGAAGGAGCTGGGTTGGTGCGGGCACCTGCGCGTGGGGCTGACGGCGCACGACCCGCAGAGCCTGGGCACCGTGCCCGAGTATTCGCTGCCTGACCTGGTCGGCCTGGGAGACACCTGGGTGTTCGCCATCACCCGCAGTCACAACCGCGTGTCGGCCGACGGGCAGGAGGAGCCGGCCCCGGCCCCGGCCCCGCTCTGGGAGCCCGAGCTGCGCATCGAGGGCGTGAGGATCCCCCGCGACAAACTGGTGGGGCGCAGCCGCCCCGGACGCTACAGCCATCTCCTGGATGAGCTGTACCGCACCAACGTGCTGCCTCCCACCGCCCTGCGCAGCCGCATCGGCGTGCTGTACGCCCCGCGGCCCGACGGCACCGCCGACATGCACATCGTCATCAACGGGGAGGACATGGGGCCGAGCGCCCGGAGCCTGCCCACCGCGCGGCCGCTCTACGCTGTGATTGACGTCTTCGCCTCTACCAAAAGCGTCCGTGTGATCCAGGTGGAATACGGCTGTGGGTATCTGCGCGGTGACCCCGCGGTCCGGTGGGCAGCATTTGAGTGGGATGGGACGTGGGGCGCAGAGATACAGGGTGGAGAGTGTGGCAGAGCATCCCGAGTCCCCGTAGAGTGCAGTGAGGCCCCACTAGCAGCGGTGCCTCTCAGAAGCCGTGCTGTGGCAGGGATGTGGTTTGGCTCCGGCAGCCCAAGGTCCCCCTCCAGCCCTGTGCTGGCTGCTCAGTGCCCCAGCCTCGCCCAACCCAGAGCCAGGGCTGCAGCAGCAGATCCAGAGCAGACCCCCGCGGTGCTGCAGCCGTTGGGCAACATCCCGGTGTCCCCAGGCAGGGTGGGGCTGGGATCGGCAGCCCCGCACAGCCACGAGCTCCTGCGAGCAGTCAGCTAATAGGTGCTAATTAGAAGCGTATTGGAAAAATGAACACGTGCTCAGGATGATGAGGGATGTGAACCAGAAGAAGAAATAGTGCCTGGGTACTGATGGCTGGGTCACCATCATGCTGCTGTGCCACCTGAGCTTTACATAACTGGGAGATAATGAGGTCTTGGCATAGCAGGCACAAGGCCAGAGACAAAGCAAACAAGATACCAGGACCCACAGCAGAGCGAGCGACTCCTGCACAGGGAACCTCAGCCCCGAGTTCAGCCTCTCAAGGCTGAGGTCTGGCATTCCCTGTGCTGGCTGCCTTCCTCTAGAAAGGGGAGGGAGGGGGAGAGCAGCAAGGGCTCCCAGCAGGACACAGTGCGAAGTGAGGGCCAGGCCAGCAGTGCACCAGAGGCAGTGAGCAACCCGGTGCCAGCTACCCACAGATTTCTGCAGCTGCTCTTTCTGCAGCATTTCCCTTGGCTTTACAAATCAGTTTTGGTTTAGTTCTGCTTTTGCTGGGGTGTGGGCGGTCAAGCGAAACCCTGCAGCTGAAGGGCAGGAGACGAGACGCTGCGCAGGGGGGCCCACATTGCTGCTCACCGAACGCTCAGGGCGGCGAGCCCCGGCCTATGATAAGCATTGCAGACATCCAGGAGCAGCCCAAGGCCGGGGCACAACGCTGCTTTGTCTGGCAGTGCCCCGAGGCCTCGTGCTGGCGGCCCTGTGAGAGCAGAGCAGCTGGGCCACCACCCAGGGCCCCGCTCTGCAGCGTGACACCGCAGCCGGCCCCCCCGCCCTGCGCTGCTGGGGGCTTCCCACAGCTCATAGAGGAGGAATCCGCCCACAGCCTGTGTCACAGGGGTCAGGGGGCCGATGGAAGACGCGTCCCGGGAGCATCATGTGAGTCCTCCCTGCAGAGGCTGATGGTGCAGTGTGGTGTGCACACAGGCCACCGAGGGAATAAGGATGAAAGGAAAACACTGTGTGGGCACGTGGGTCCCTGGAGGAACCATGTAGCAGCCCCGAGAGGAAACAAATGCAAAACACCACAGTAACACACTGTGCAGGCACATGACTGCAGGGCCACCACGCTCAGCTTGTTAAAGGAGCTCCAGCCTGGGCACAGCATGAGGACTCCACAGGGTGAAGCTCTCCCCCAGCAGAGCCCTGCAGGAGGACGAGTGCTGCCCGCAGCATAAAATTCCCCAAACGCTGCCCAAAAGCCAGGAGCCAGCAGTGAGCCCTGCACACCACTCTCCCAGCACAGCTCTCCCAGCCACCCCAGCTCCTTCTGTTTTTGCAAGACTGTTTCTCTTGCAGTCCCTTCCCTGCAGACGCTCTGCCGGCTGGTCATCCAGAAGCACATTGTGCACCGCCTGGCCATCGACGGCTTGGATCTGCCCCCCATGCTGAAGCACTTCTGCCAACACGAGTGAGGAACTGAGGTGCTGCATGGCCTGACAAGCCCCCAGAGCATGCCAGCGACTTTGTGTGAATGGGTACAGTTGGAGCTCTGAGCACCCAATGTAGCTGTAGGTGCCCCTGTTGTTTGCACAGCCTCGATGGCCTTCAAGGGTCCTTTCAACTCAAATTGCTGTACGGTTGGGCTCGTGCCCACTCACAGAAGAGAGTGAGTAATAAAGCACTTCAAGGCACAGCCTGAGCTCTCTGCGTGGTGCCGGTCCACAGAGCCCAGGAACAAAGCTACAATTTCCTGGGTCCACAGCTGGGGCACTGAGCACTGCCTGCGGGTCCTCCTGAACAACAGCCCCAAGACTGCAGGATGGAGGCCTGTGATATGGGATGCTATGTGCTGGGGCACTGCTTCTCAGTGCTGCAGCAAGCTCAGAGCACTGCCAGAGGCGAGTGCAGGGCCAGCAGCCCCAGCCCAGGCTCCTTCCTGGCTGGAAGCAGCCTGCAGCAGTGAGAGGGCGGCCTGGGAAGCTGCGCTGCCAGCAACGGGCCCTCACGAAGGGCTGCAGGGCTCCCTGCTCACGTGGAAGGTAAATTGCAGCTGGGCCCTGTCCCAGCCACGCAGTTTCGCTCTTGGGAAACATGTTTACTGAGAAAGGGATGACTTATTTCCTGTGCTCTCTGAGAAGAGGTGGAAGGGTCGGACTGCTGTCCATACACCACGTGCAGGGAGCAGCTCCAGCAGTGGCTGCTCCTCGTGCCTGTGGCCATGAAGCCAGTCACAGCAAGCTGGGGGAGGTCTGGTGCAGACCCTGGTTCCCAGCCTTGGATCACTGTGTGCCTGTGCTGTGTTTCCCTGGGGAGACTGCTCCGGGAGCAGGCAGAACATACAGCTTTAAGCTTGCAGAAAGGTGTTTTAGGAAACACTATACTATATTTAGACAGAGGGATTTGATATTATCAGACAGCATGACAAAACCCTCAAATGAGGGGAAATTCCCAACCACACTGCAGTTCTACAGCAACAGGCAACTCTAAAATCCGAGCGTTAGTGAAGCACCAACTGTGGGAAACACAGCACTAATGAACTACAGAGATCAAGAGAGGTCTGTGGTGCTTTCTGCTCCTCACCAGATGTCCCCAGCAGATCCCCCAGTACACAGCCAAGGGGCTGGAGAGGGGGCTGGCAGCTCACCAGCTGCACAACAGCTTCTAGAGGCTTGGGTGATCGCGTTTGTTCTTCTTAGTGTTTTTTCCTCCCCCACCCCACACACCCAAAGCATTTGCTCTGTGCTTTGCAGAAGCCTTGTTTGTACTGCCGTGACCCCCAGCAGGCATGAGGGAGGGCAGTTCCATTTTCTGAATAATTAAGAGCAGCTGCCACAACCAGATAAACAAACGCCCCAACACGGGCAGCACTGCCAGCAGCAGAGATCGCCACCCTCAGGTCCTGCTGCTCCTTAACACACAGGCTCACTTGCCTAATGAGCGGGCAAGGAAATTAGACCTGAAAACCAAGGAAAGATGTTAAAAACCCTGCCCAAGTGAGCAGCCTCACTGCCCTCTGGCAGGGAAGGATTGCCTCAGAAACACACTCAGCTCCAAAGTGACAAAGGAGCATTTATTGGCTTTGTTGCACAATACCCTCACAGCCGGATGCTGGAAGGACCTGAAGGTGCTGGCCAAAGATCAAATAATTTTATCACATTATTAAACTATCACTTCCTACCCCACGCCACCCTCAGATCACCCCATGCATTTCCTGCTTGTTAGGTCAGTAGCTTGTTACCCATCACAGTCCAGCTGGGAATTTGTAAACCAGCTCCACAGCTCCCCCATGCAGGAGTGGATGCTCACTCACGAAGCGGCCCAGCCAGCCCCTAACTCCCGTGGGGTGCAGTCTGAATAAAGGAGCAATGAAAGCAGGAGGGATGTGGCAGAGCTGCGAGCAGTGCCAGCCTCACGCCTGGCTCACTGTCCCATACTAGAGTTTCACCTGCATGTAGGGCCCGATCCAGCTGTCAGCCAGCGCTCGCAGCGTGCTGCACCGGAGCTCAAACTCCTCTGTGCTACAGCAGGTGAGGAGCTGGCTGACCTCTTCTGTGAGCAAGGACACAGCCACGAATTTGTCCCGAGACTCATCCCAAGGGCTCTCCAGGTCCTCCAGGAGGTGGTCAGCACTGCCTCGCACGCTCTCGATGATGATGTCACGTCCCTTCTGCCACTGCCTCCCCAGCATCTCAGGCTGCAAGGTCTTTCTCTCCAAGTTCAGCACAGCCTGGATGTGCCGGCAGGGCAACTGGAACGTCTGGTTGAAGTGGCATGTGCAGTGGCACAGCCCTTCCTGAGTCACTTTGTGAGCATCTTCAAGGATCTGTACGTTGACAGCATCTGTGCTGCTGCCTATCAGCTGTACAGACTTCTGAACCACTGCAAGCTCGCTCAGGCACAGCCTGGCAGCAAACTCTGTGCAAATATCAGACAAAGATCGCATGATACGTTCTTCAGCCTTTTGGTTCATCCCCTCATCGCTGTCCCCCTCAGAATATTCTGTAGCCTCCTCTTTAATTGCAGGAGATGAAGGAATGTACAAGGAGCAAGTGCTCACAGACCCGCTCTGGAGGAGAGGCTGGGGAGGTGCAGGCTGGCTGCGGAGGGCCACTGGGAGTTGAGGAGCTGCCATTGCCATGGGAGAGTCCGGGGCACAGCACTGGGATGGCTGATCCTGACATGGTGCCAGAGGAGAATTCGAGGTGGGTGAGGTTTGGGAAGCTGCACGGTGATCAGGACAGGCAGTGGAGCACATAGTATCACTGGGAGGGGTCTCAGAAACACACTTCTGGTAGTACTTTGCAAACGAGGCAATGCAAGTTTCCAGGAAGAGCTCAGCACTAAAAACCTGGCTTATGCCCTGGGTGATGGTCTCCAGCTCCATAAAATAGTCACAGCTCTTCTTGCAGCCTCTCTCCCCGTGCGTGGCCCAGATCTTATTGGTGAGCAGCCAGTGAGCGTGGAAGCGTGGCAGCAGGTCTGGCGGTACCGTCTCACTCAGGACGCGGTGCATCTCCCTGCGTTTGCTCTCCGTGGCCCTGCACATGGTGCCGTGCAGGGTGCTGAGGAGCAGCTGCTCGGCCCGGTGCTCCAGGCCCAGGCGCTGAATCTGCTCCTGCAGGTGCTTGCACACGTGGAAAGCTGAGAGGCGCACCTCAGCCCCGGGGAAGGCTTGGCCCAGCGCCACGGGCTCGGGGAGGTCGGGGCCCACCAGCAGCACCCGGGTGCGCCACCACGCGGGGTTGAACGCCCGGAAGGCCTCGCACATGCGGGCCAAGCCGCGTGCCGACTCGTCGCGGGGCACTGCGAGGTGCACCACCCTGCCCGCGGCCCCGCGCCCCGCCAGCCACGGCCCGTCTGCCAGGAAAACGTACAGCGCCCGGCCGCTCGGGGCGCAGGCTCGGTGCACCAGCAGGGCCTGGGGGAAGCGAGCGAACAGCGCGCCCATCTCGGCGCTCTGGAAGCTGACGGAAGCCATGCGGCCCTCGGCGTCCAGCTCGTAGGACACCAGGCAGCCGCTCCCCGCGTCCTCCGCCATGGCCGCACCGCCATGTGCGCCACGCCCGGCCCCGCGACGCGACCAATCAGCGCCGGGCGCGCAGGTGACGTCACGACGCACGCACCGCCACAGCGCCCCCGCGCGGAGAAGGCGGCACCGCGCGCCCGACGCACGGGAACGCGCCCGGCCCCAGCGGCCGCTCACGGCGCGCCCGCCGCCTCCTGCTTCACCCCCAGGTCCGGGCTCGCCTCCGCACCGCGCTCCTTGTCCCCACCTTGCTCGGCCCAGGCGTCCACGATGGCCCTGAGCGCGGAGCTGCGCTCCTCCAGCTGCGCCCCGTCGCTCTGCAGCAGCAGGTTGGCCAGCTCCTTGCTGAGCGCCTGGATCCGGTCCCGCCGGTCCTCCGCCTCCCCCGGGATATCCATGTGCTCCGGCAGCTCCGCGGGCACGGCGCGCTGCTCGTATTTCCGCCGCCAGCGGTGGCCCACCATGCCGCTCTCTACGCTCCTGCGTTCGGCGTGCAGCACGGCCAGCACGTGGCGGCAGGGCAGGCGGTAGCGGTGCTGGAAGTAACAGCTGCAGCTGCGGCAGTCGTCGCTCACCCGGTGCACGTCTTCCAGCAGCCGCACCTCCACGCCGCCCGGCACGGCGCTGATCAGCTGCGTGGACATCTGCACCACCTCCCACTCGTTGGCACACAGCTGGTAGCCCTGTGCCGTGGAGCAGTCCCGCAGCTCCTCCAGCATGCAGGCCTGCCCCTCCACCACCACGCTGGGCACCGTCTGCCTGGGAGGCTCGGGGTGCTCAGTGAGAACCTGTGAGTCAAAAGGAGGATCTGGTTCTGTGGTGGTGTGCACCTGCGCTTCAGGTTTCTCCTGGAAGCCTCTCTGACAGTCCTTGGTGCACGAGGGACTCCAGTTGGAGCTTTCCAGAGGTTTGGAATCGAGACACTCTGCGCACTCCAGTAAATGGAGAACGCTTGCCTCCAAGGAGGAGTGCTGGCCAAAGAGAGCAGATAGCCGGTGTGTGACGAGATCCAGACTGTCAATGTGTGCACTGCATGAATGAAGACCTTTCTTGGTATGCATGTACCACAGCAGCTCGCAGGAGAACCAATTGGCCTGGAGGTAGGCGTACAGCTCCGCGTTAACCACGCTCTTCATCATCTGAGACAGGGTGTCCAGACTGTCAGCCGAAGTGGAAAATACTGCATTCTTCAAGGCCAGCTTCATTTCTTGCTTGGCAGAAAGTGGCATTTCTGCTGCATTCACATTCTCCTCAAGCAGTCGGACAGTGTGGTAGACAGAAAGGAGCACCTGAGCCAAAGGAAAGAGCTCCTGAAGGACAGCTTTGTGAGGGAAGGACGTGTCCACAAAAACAACCTTCACCTTTCGCCACTCAGGATTGAACTCCTTGAAAACAGCCAGCATTTTGCTGATGCTCTGTCCCTTGTCAGCTTTCAGCACTGACCAGTGCACAATCTTCCCCACTCGCTCTTTACTCTCTACTAAGAGCACGTAGAGAACATGTTCTCCCTGGCTCTGTACCCTGTGCAACAGAAGGCTGGTAGGAAACTTTGTAAATAAGCTCTTCATCTTGCTGGTCTGGAAGTTGAGCCTCTCCAGCCCCTGCTCACTGCCTACATCAAGTGAAGCCAGTGCCCCACTGTCTGCATTCAGGCAGCTTTTCACTACTTCCGTGACTCTGTCTGCTGCTGAGGGAGAATCATTTTCCTTCCCTGCCTCTGAGAGGGCAGGAACCCTGCACAGGGCGGATGCTCCATCCACAACTTGCTCAGCCTCAGGCAAATTCTCATCCACCTCGTTAGAGCTTTCGGTCCCTTCTGCCTGTTGCCTGCACAGCTTGACTGCAGGGCTGCCATCTGCTGTGGTGTTGGCTCTTCTGGTTATGCCAACACCGGTCAGGAAAAACTCCGTGTCCACATGTACATGGTCACTACATAGCTCACTGATCACCAGTTGATCTATGTCCTCATTATATTGCAAAACAAAGTAAGCTGGACACAGATTGGGCTGCTTCTTCCTTTTCTTATTGTACTTTTGGGTCCGGGTACAACCAAACTTCACCTGCATGAACCTGCAAACGTTGAGAAAAAGTTAATGTTGGGAGCAATGATGCTGTTATTTTTTCAACATTTAGTTTTGGCTTCTCTAGCATGTCAGCTCTACATTCAATTAGCAAACATAAAAACATACATCCACCAGATGTGCAAGGCTGGTCTACTCGGAAATCTCAGGATAAGCACAAACAGTGGGAACAAAGGAGCTAAGAGTTACAGCCACCATCACCAAACACCCCGGTATCCCCAGGAGCAGGGCAAGAGAGGCTTTAAGACATGAGATTAAGTTCTGTTCTAAGGAAGGCTGAGCACATCCATGGGCCAGGTCCCAGCGGAGACAATGAAGGCCTGCAGAACTCAGCACTATGAAAGGGAATCCAGATAAATCCTTTCCAACACATGGGCTAAAAGCAGCCAGGGAACACTATTGGATGCCAACACTTAAGATACCACTTGAGAGGAAAAAGGCCACAGTGATAGTTAGCAACACCACAACAGCATCATCTCAAATACCAGAAAGGCAAGTTTCACCGCAAGGGTCAGAGAACAGAGCTGAGCAACGACCACGAGGCAGCAGAGAGCTGCACGGGGGACAGCACGGAGAGTGCATGCGGGCGTGAGGGCAGCAACACAGCTCAGCCTCACAGCAGCAGGGCCGCAACGGCACCAGCACTGCCCCGCCGCCGTGACCTGGCCTGCAGGCAGGCCGCCCTGCCACGTGCACGTGGGATCGCAGCCCGGGGACAGGCGAGGGCGAAGAGGCTCAGCAGCACGTGCCGCTGCCGGTGGGCCGAGGCCTACACGACGCCAGGAGACGGCCGCCTTACATCACATCCTCGCGAACGGCCGTGCCGTGCTCCCGGTTGTGGAAGCGCACCGAGGTGCAGCTGCGCAGGCTATAGTGGGAGCCGTGGGCCTGCTGGTAGGCGCACAGGGACTCCTTGAACTCCCGGTACGTCCGGAAACACGCCCCGAGCTCCATGGCGAAATGTGAGGGCCGGGCAACCTGCCGGCCCTTATCAACCCGATGGGGCACCGCCCCGCCCGCCGTTCGACCAATCACAGCCGTTCTTTCCCAACTGGCGGGAGGCCGACCAACCAGCGCAACGTTTTCTGCCGCCAGTCCAGCGATTGACGACTCGAGAACCCAATCAGTTGGTGGCTCCCTCCTCCAGCTGTGTGGGCGGGACTTCCTGCTGCTCCGAGCGGCTGCCGGATGTGGCTGCAGGCAGTGCCGGTTCCGGGTCGCGGCAGAGATGGCGGAGCCGGGTGATGCCGGGGCTGCGGCCTCGGGCTCGGGTCTGAAGCGGCTGGCAGCGGCCGGGGACCTGCGGAGCGTGCTGATCACCAGCGTGCTCAACCTGGAGCGCCTCGAGGTCGACCTCTTCAGGTGCGCGGTGCTCCGCCCGCCCGTCCCTCCGCGCTGTCCGCCGCACTGACGGCAGCCGCCATTCTCCCGTTAGGGGTCAGCACCACTGGGTGCCCGTGACGAGGCGCCTTTTCGGCGGGCAGATCGTGGGCCAGGCCCTGGTGGCAGCCGCCCGTGCCGTCAGCCGTGACCTCCAGGCCCACTCGCTGCACTGCTACTTCGTGCGCGCAGGTGGGACCGCGCCGCGGGGCTCGGGCGGCTCACGGATACCGGGGCCGGGTGGGCGGATCTGGGAGATGGGGGGGAGGCCGGGACCGGGGCCGCCATTCCGTGCCTGCCGCAGCGGAGCAGTGCTTCCTCTGCCCGGCCCCGGCTTTCTGCCAGTGCGGATCGGGGCCCTCTGTGGTGCATGGCTGCCCCGCGGCCAAAGGCTCCCATCCACCCAGGGGACCCCAAGGTGCCGGTGTTGTACGAGGTGGAGCGGACCCGTACTGGAAAGAGCTTCTCCGTCCGCTCTGTGAAGGCCATTCAGCATGGGAAGCCTATCTTCATCTGCCAGGCCTCCTTCCAGCTGTCCCAGCAGAGTCCTGTGCAGCACCAGTTCACCATGCCCACCGTGCCACCCCCTGAGGAGCTGCTGACACAGGAGGAGCTCATTGAGAAGTTCCTGCAGTGAGTGGAGAGGAAAGAGCATACCCTGGGGGCTCCCTGCTCTGTGCTGGGGCTTTGGGAGGCACAGGGACAGAAACAGATGGGAAAGGATAGCAGTCCCAAGGAGTCCCCACATGCACCTGCAAGGGACGTAGAGGCAGGCAGCAGCAGCTGTGCCCTCCTGCTTTTCCCTGTGGCCCTGGGCTGACAGTGCCTTCCATGGGTACTGGGCATTGATTTTGCTTCTCCATATTGGTCTCAAGGAATCCTAACTTGGCAGAGAGATACAGAAAGCATCTCAACAGGATCCAAGCTGAAGATGTGCCGATTGATATAAAACCTGTGAACCCACCAGATATACTCTGCACAGAGCCACAGGAGGCAAAGCAGTTCTTCTGGGTGCGAGCCCGAGGCTACATAGGTGGGTACTGCCTGGAGGGGCCTTTGGCTGCACACAAATCCAGGGCTGGGGCTCAAGCTCTCACACTCATGACAGAGGGCTGGGAGAGTTGTGATCCCTATGCCCTAAGGCTGGGGGAATTTGGGGGTTTCAGGACTGAAGTAAGGGCAGGGGGCCAGGGCGTGAGGCAATGCCCATTTGCTGTATTCAGTCCTGCAGCCTTCAGCCTGGGCCATAGCAAGGGCTGAAGGTCTGAAGTAGTGCCGCAGTGCTGCTGGGCTCACAGCTGACCTTGGGGATGCACAGCTGTTGGAGCTTTACATCACCTACTGTGTCCAGATGTGTCCCACAGTCACCTGGCACTGAGCAAACACTGGCTTTTTGCAGGAGAGACTGACATGAAGGTGCACTGCTGTGTGGCCGCCTACATCTCTGACTATGCCTTTCTGGGCACGGCCCTACTGCCTCATCGTCAGCACAACATCAAATTCATGGTGTCCCTCGACCACTCCATGTGGTTCCACGCGCCCTTCCGATCTGACCACTGGATGCTGTACGAGTGCGAGAGCCCCTGGGCTGGTGAGTCTTGGCCGGTTCCCTGGACACCACACGGCAAAGGCTGATGCAGCACACACAGGGCTGCGGTCTCACGCCGTTTCCTGCAGGTGGGTGCCGAGGGCTGGTGCACGGACGCTTGTGGCGCAGGGATGGGGTCCTGGCTGTCACCTGCACACAGGAAGGAGTTATCCGGGTCGAGCAGAACCCAAATCAGAGTAAACTCTAGCCAAGGAAGCCAGACACAGCAGTTGGACTAAGCTCCGTGTGCTGGCGTTGAAGCCTGCACCAGAATACCTGTGGCAGAGGCAGGACCCCACGCAGCAGCAGAAGGAGCAGCAGAAGAGAAGCAGCTTAGGCCCACAGGTGGAAGTGTTGGTGCCAGCACTTCAACACTGAGGTGATTCTGCACGGGCTGCAGTGTTACTGCTGTCGATTGCCAGCTGCGCAGCGTAATGGCGCGCTATGCTGAGCCACTCTTCACCCACAGTAATAAAGCTATCACGTGAGCAGCTGAGCTCTGTGCCCTGGACTTTGTCCCCTCAACTTTGGGTGACTGTGTGTAACTCAGATCTTCTGGTGGCAGGGGAGGAGAGGGCAGCACCAGGACACTTGGGGCTGGCTGTGCCCTGCAGCACACAGGTCAGAGAAGAAAGTGCTACTGCAACGCTCACATGGCTTCCTCTTCTCACTTCTGCTGACCTCCTTGTGCCCTTATGGTAAGCTGCTGCTGCTGCTGCTAGCACCTTGTTCTCCTCTTTGGAGCTGAGCTGGAGAGGGGAGCACAGCAGCCACAAAGAAAGGGAAGAACACGGCCGTCCCCACCTCCTGGTTTGGGAAGTGCAAGGTCTTCCTGCTCGTGGGTGTCTTTGTGCGGTGCCTCAGGGGGAAGTGAAGCTACACAGATACTGCAGGAACCCCTGTTCTTTCTCCTGTCACGGCTTTATTAAAGTCCTTTTTATTTTCTGTTATTGGAAATTCCTGGCTGGAAGCCTTTCTGTCCCTTTAATGCAGTGCCAGTGTGTCTCAGCTAAAGTCCTGTCTGTCTTGAGAACCCCAAGGAGCAGGTGGCTCCTGACAGGTAGTGTGAGCAGCAAGCACCCAGCACAGGTGGAAAAACTGATATAGAAAGTGCATTTTCAAGAGAGAGCTCCCAGAGGGGCCAACCCTGATCCCAGCCACCACATACAGACTGTGCCATCACAACTCTGCCTCTGTGCCCCATCCCAACCCTCTCTGCTCCCTCTCCCGCCCCAGAGCGTAAACTGTCTGCACCCCACGGCCCCTAGCCTCACTCCAGAGGTTCCTTGATGAGACACTCCTTCAGGCTGGGCTGCTGCTGCAAGGGCACGCCAGCCTCCTGCAGGTCCTGCAGCCGGGCTTCCGACCGCCGCTTGTCCTTGCCCACTTTCCAGGCCAGGTGGACGTGAGCCTGGAGGAAGGGCCCCAGCAGTGGGTGGCTGTCCTGGGCCTCCAGCAGCTGCAGCGCCTGTTCGCAGCAGCCGTGGGCTTCACCCAGCTGGTCCAACTCCTGGTGGCAGACGACCAACCCGGCCAGCGTCAGGAGGAAGCGGCCAGAGCCGCACACCCCCAGGCGGTCCTGCAGCCGGTAGGCGTTGGCCCAGGTGGCCAGAGCCTCGCGGTACATGCCGGTGCAGGTGAGGCGCTGGGCGGCGCGCAGGTCCTGCAGGAAGAAGAATTCAAGGAACTCGGGGGAGCGGCGGATCTCGGCGATGGAGTGCAGGTGGGACAGGAACTGCTCGAAGGCTCGGCTCCGCTTGGCGATGGTCTCGGCTGTAAAGTTGCGCCGCAGCCTCTTCCTGGGGAAGGCGATGCCCGCCATGTCGCAGCCAAAGCGGCCGCGCAGGCGGCGGTTCAGCCTCTCGAAGTCCGAGTAGCGACGGGAGATGGCGGCGGGAGCCTTGTCCAAGTGCCCCGAGCGGATCAGGTAGATGGTGTAGAGCTGCGGGCAGGGAACGGGGGTCGGGAGGTGCTGTGCTGGGGGACGCGGCCCCTGGTGGGGCCGGGGCTGAACCGAGTGCACAGCAGCAAAGGGGATGAAGGGACGGGCACGCCGTGCCCCAAGGGCGGCATTCACACGGCGGAGCTGCGGGCCGTAGTTACCTGAGGCTCATCTGAGCCGCAGCACCATCAGAGCAGCACGGGGAGAGACAGAGAGAGGTGAGCGCCCGCCCGCCCGCCCGGACCCCCACCCGCCGCTGCGGCCCCGCGGGCGCACTCACCACGTACTTGGAGGAGCGCTCGCTGACCACGCTGGCGCTGGTGACCTCGAAGAGCAGCCGCTGCGGTACGAAGCTGCTCCGCGACCGCCGCCACAGCTCCTGCAGCTGCCGGGTCAGCAGGCTGCCGGGCCGCGCCGCCGGGCCCCACTCTGTGCGGGGAGAAGGGCTCAGCGGGCGCCGGGGCGGCGGGAGCCCAGGGCACCCATCCCAGCACCTGCCTCCGTCCTGCGCGGCATCCCCCGCCTGCAGCTCCTCGCCGCCGCCGCCGTCCTCCTCCTCCTCCTCCTCGTCCTCGTCCTCCTCGTGCCCGCTGAAGCTCAGGGTGCCGCTGAGGCGAGTGGACAGCCCTTCGGTGTCGTCCTCCAGCTCCGAGCTCTCGGGGCAGTCCTCGGCCTCAACGCCGTCGTGTGTCCGCTCCTCCCGGGCGCCCTCCGCGCCCAACGCGTGCCGCAGGCGGTGCAGGATGCGGGCGGCCATCCCCGCGGTGCGGCTGCGGCGACGGGTCAGACCCGGCCGCCCCAACAACGGGACGGGCACGCGGGGGGGGGGCAGCGCGGGACCCCGCACCGGGACGGCCCCGCTCCCGGCCGGGACCCTCCGGCCCCCCCGAGCCGGGCGCACCCTCAGCCCCGCTGCCCCAGGAGCAGCCCCGCTGCCGCGGTGGGCGTTACGCACCGTACCGTACCGCGCTGTGCCGGGCCGCGCCGCGCCGGGCGGTGCCGAGCGATGGCCGCTCCGCCGCTGCTCGTCCCGGGATCCTCCCTGCGCGGCTCCGCCTCCGCTGGGAACCCGGATCGCGGCGGGGCTGTCACGTCCCGGCACGGCATAGCGCGGCTCCGCACGGCGCGGTCCGGCTATCTCGCTGCCCGCACAGCCCCTGCCCTGTTCCTGGGCACAGCTCCCTGATTGCCATCACCCTGCGCTGCCACGGCACCCTGACACCTCGGTACCCCAACACCGCAGCACCCCAACACCACGACATACCAAAACACCACGACATCCCAATACCCGGCACCCTCACCCACCACCCCTGCCCTCCTCAGCCTCACCACACGCTCCTGCTCCTGGGCTGCAGCCATGGCCGGTGCCGGGCACTCACCGCCCTTATTTAGTGCCATACCCACTCTGTCCTTGCTGCTTTCTTGGGAATGTCTATTAATATCGAGGAATGATCCAGCTGCTGCCATCACTCTGTCCTTGCTCCTCGCTGTGCTGTGCTGCCCCATCCATGGGGTGCCTCAGAGCTGCCCCGGCACAGGATCCTGCAGACCGACAGTCCTGCTGCAGCCCCAAAGCCCTTCTGAAGAGCCGCACAGGGCACAAGGGCCGTGGGCCACTTGGCCAGCCAGTCCCAGGGCCATTGGCCTGGCAGAGACACAGCTGTGCCGCGCTTTTGAGGAGGCCGTGGGCATCATTCCCACTCTCCCAGAGTCACGGAGCAGACGTGCCACTTCTAGCCCTGCCAGGCCCAGGCGGCGGCTGCCAGCAAAGTGGGAAGTCACGCCAAGGCCAGGTCCCATTGTAGGACCCTGCTCCTCATCCACCTGCAGCTCTCAGCCAGTGCTGCTCTGGGGCTGGGGGCTGCTGCTTTGCCTCACCCCTCCAGAGCAGAAATAAGGGGTGAAAGGAGGGGCCGATGGTTTGGGCACAGCCAAAGCAGCCGGGTACTGAGGGGTGAGGGAGGGGGCACGGCCCCAGCGCTGCCCGCCTGCCCCAGTCTGTGCTGTGGAGTTAGCAGTGTTACAGGCACCACCAGTGCTGTCCGGCTCTGTCCGTACTGCTGGCCCGACATGGGGGGAGCCCAGTCCTGGTCTTGGGGATGCCGCTATTTGGGGCTATTTTTAACCCTCTCCATGCTGAGCTGTCCTGATGCAAGGAGGTGTAGATGAAGGGGCCGCACTCCTGCCAAGAGGCCGTGTCCCTCCCTGCAGGGCTTGAATTTCTATCCCGACTTCAGACCCACGTTTAATCCCCTGCTCTTGGCCAATAACGCTTTGGCTAAATTAGGTAAAATGAGCCTGGTGCCAATGAGCGGGGCCGGATTTCCACCAGGGAGCTGATAGGCTGCTGGGGCTGGGGGCCAACGGCTGGGGGCACGAGGACACTACAAATTGGGGAGCCAAGGAGTGTCTGGGGGCTGCTGGTGCAGGAGGTGGTGACTCCCTGCGGGAGGAGAGCAGCAGAGATGGCGTCGATGGTAAGTGCTCCAGTGGTGCTGGGGTGAGCCGTGGCTGGGCCAGAGGTGTTGGGCACCGTGATGTGGGGCTGCCAGGCACCTCTATGGGGCGATGGCAGAGGGACGATTCCTGCAGGCTGGCTGTGGCGGAAGGCAGAAGGGATGTGGGGGCAGCGGGACATGTTCCCCATGGCGTATATCCCCCTATGGGACGCGTACCCCTATGAGACATGCCTCAGGGAGGGATTGCGCGGCTGCCTGGAAGTAACTGGTGCATGGGGTGATCAGAGCTGGATCTGGGCTATGCGAAGGCGCTGAAAGCCAAGCGCTGGGTCATGCGACACCTCTGTGGCCCCAGACAGCCCTCGCCTCCAGGAGAAACTCGATCTGGGGCAAACAGGTGCCCGCTCAGCACTGCTCCCTATAAGGGGAGTTGAGGAGAGTTCAAAAATAGTGTCGCGTGTCTGGGATGCCAAGGCAGCATGGCGGCCCCTGCGTCATGGACCCCCGGTGGGCGGCTGCATGGGGCTTGAGGCAGCTGAGCTGCAGGGCTGCCTGAGGCCTTGGCTCACTCAGGGGACAGCCACGTGCTGTAGAGCTGAGCTGGACAAAGGCTTTGCAGCTGTGCCGGGAGGCTGAGGCTTTGCACTGTGCCAGATACTGCTGCAGACACCTTTATGCTGCTGACCCTGGGCAGGGGCTGTGCTGGCAGGGCAGGGGTGCATGGGGCAGGAACTGACCCCTTCTCCCTGTGCCTTACAGACAGACCAGCAGGCAGAGGCCCGTGCCTTCCTCAGCGAGGAGATGATCGCTGGTGAGCAGGGAGAGCAGCCGGGCCCCATCCTGACCCACGCCATTGCCTGAGTCCCAGCACTGACCAGTCTTCCCTGCAGAGTTCAAAGCTGCCTTCGACATGTTTGATGCGGACGGTGGTGGGGACATCAGCACCAAGGAGTTGGGCACGGTGATGAGGATGCTGGGCCAGAACCCCACCAAGGAAGAGCTGGATGCCATCATCGAGGAGGTGGACGAGGACGGTGAGCAGCTTCCATGGGGGCGGGGGGTGGCTTGAGTGCACGGCCTGACCCGCATCGCGCTCCCTCCCCACAGGCAGCGGCACCATCGACTTCGAGGAGTTCCTGGTGATGATGGTGCGCCAGATGAAAGAGGACGCCAAGGGCAAGTCTGAGGAGGAGCTGGCCAACTGCTTCCGCATCTTCGACAGGTGAGGGGGGCAGTGCCTGCTGGCACCTGTCCTTGGTGGCGAGCAGGGCCGCATCCTGCCGTTACTCTCCCACAGGAACGCTGATGGGTTCATCGACATCGAGGAGCTGGGTGAGATTCTCAGGGCCACCGGGGAGCACGTCACCGAGGAGGATATAGAAGACCTCATGAAGGATTCAGACAAGAACAATGATGGCCGCATTGACTTCGATGGTGAGCGGCAGCCCTGACCCTGCAGCTTGCTCAGCCCCTTTGGGCTGCGTGTCTGGCACAGCTGGATCTGATGGTGCCGCTTTCTTGCAGAGTTCCTGAAGATGATGGAGGGCGTGCAGTAAGGGATCAGACATTCCTTGGGCCGGCTGCGGCAGCCAGCCCTGCTCCTCTGCCCAGGAGTGGCCCCGCTGCAGCACCTGGCCTCGCTGCTCACCCGCTGGAGCCCTGCAGCAGCTTGTGCCCCTTGGCCGGCGGCTGAGCTTTTCCTTGACTCTGACAGATGTGGTTTATGGATGAGCCTCATTAAAAGGGGAAAGGCTGAGCTGCCAGTATGGGAGTGCCTGGGGGGGCTGTGGCACTGTGCCCCATGCAGGGGGACATGGGGAAGTGTGCAATGCCGTGCCATAGCTTGTACCAACCAGCCTGACCTGCGAGCGTGTGAGCAGCGGTTCCCATGGGCTGCTGGGTGGGCGCCAGCCAGCGCTGAGCTCAGAGTTTCCATCAGGAGCACTCGCTTCCCACGACAGCAGCAGCAGGGAGCACAGCCCTGTCCTCCCATGGTCCCAGCAGGCAGCACTGGGAAGTTGCTTCTGCTCACTCTTGGCAGGATGTGTGACGACGCTGGATTTTGGAAAGGGAAAGGGGGGAAAAGGGGGGAGAAGGGGGACAAGCATTGCTGCAGGGTTCTGATGGAAAGGATGGGGTATCCTATCAAATAAAGTAGGGGGGCTTTTGCCCCCCCCCCCCCCCCCAAGACAGCAGCCACCCCTCTGCACATGGATTAAGGCAATGCTGGAAAAGCCAGCCTGGTCTGTGCCAGCTCTCCCTGGGGACTTGCGTCTCTGTGCAGCCTCCGCAACTGGGGAGGAGCACAGCCACAGGGGCGCCAAGAGCAGAACATCTCAGGGCCAGGGCTCACAGGTCCAGGGAACACCAGTGCCTGTGGGAGCAACGGGACAGGCACTGTGCAGGACCCCGGCTCAGGACCCATCATCCTGCAGAGCCAGCGAGAAGCTGAGTCCTTATGGCACAGGATGGCACCAGGGCGAGGGGCTGCTTCCAGCTGCAGGGCACGGGGGGTGTGCATGGCCACCCAGACTGCGCTCTGCAAGGCAGCGGCGGGGCACCGACAGCTGGTGCTGCAATTGGGGAGCAGCGCTGATGGCCCCCAGCTGCGCGAGGAGCGGCACAGGAGGAGCGCGGAGGTGCGGGAGCTCAGTGTCGGTAAGGGTCCATGCAGTGGGCAGAACAGGGACTGAGCAGAGGGGCTGCAGCACGCTCAGCATCTCCATCCTGCAGGGCTGCAGAGTGCACTGCTGGCGTGGCTGCGGCAGGCAGCGGGCCCTCAGGAGCGGCGAGAGCTGGAGCGGCTGTGGGTGCTCTTCCTCTCTGCCCTGGAGCTTTTCCTGCAGGACCTGTGCTGCGCCCACCACCTCTGCAGCATCTTCTCCCCAGGGGTGGGTGGTGTGACCCCACTGCGCACTGGGCTGGGGGGGTGGCGAGGTGGGGGTCCTGAGCTGCCCCCAGCCCCCCTATGCCTGGAGGAGGAGATAGAGCAGGTGAGGGCAATGCTGGTGGAGATGGAGAGCACGGCCAACATCCCACTATGGACAGTGGAATCCATGCATGCAGTGGGGCCAGAGGAGGGCACAGCCCCCATGTCCTGCAGGCCAGGGCCTGGCACCGAGTCTTGCTGCAGGGTGCTGTGAGCTGTGGGCAGGAAATGCAGGGCTGACTTGGCTCAGGAGGATGGGACCCCATGTGCCCGGAGAGCCTGCAGGGCAGCAATAAAGCCCCACACTACCTGATGTGTATTTGCGTCCTTCCATCCCTCCCATCTATCCTGCAGTCCCCATAACACAGCACCGCAGGTAACCCAGCTGTGCAATGCATGTAAGCAGATGGAAGAACCTATAGATGTGTATTTATTTATACATTAACCGTAGGTCGCACTCCAGAATTAAGTTAAAAACAGCCTATAATACAGAAAGGCGCAGCAGACAGGGGCAAGGGGGTGGTGTGGTGGGGGTCAGGTCTCCTGGCTCTTAGCCTGCTTGCTGTACATCTCCCGCAGGTACTTCTTGTAGGCTGTAGGGAAAGGAGATGGAGGCTGAGGTTGGAGCCAGGGCTGTGCCACTGCACAGCTCGAGGAGGATCCTCGGGACACTCACCAGCCTGGTTCTTCCACAGCTCTGCAGCATGCGTGTTCAACGGGCTGTCAATATTGGGCTCTGGGGACAAGGGCAGGGTCAGAATGGGTCAGAGGTGTCCACGGACCCCACGCCCAGCACACCCACCTGCCAGCAGGCTCTGGATGGACAGCAGGATGGTGCGCACGTCATACAGCGCCGACCACTTCTCCTTCAGGATGTCGAGGCAGATGTTGCCCTGAGCGTCCACGTTGGGGTGGTAACAGGGCGTGAGGAAGCGCACCGTGGGTGCGGTGTAGGGATATCCGCTGGGGAACTCCAGGGACAGTTTATAGCGCAGCTCCTCGTAGGCCTGCGGGCGGCAGTTAGCGGGGTGGGGGACCGGGAGGGAGGGGGGGGGGGGGGCGCGTCGTGCGGTGCCGCGCGAGGTCTCACCGTGCCCGCCGCGCCGTCGATGGTGCCGATCCAGCGGAAGAGGTTATCGGACTCGGGGAAGGCGGAGATGCCTTTGTCGCCGGACATCTGCGAGGCAGAGCCATCAGCGCCGGCCCGGCCCGCACCGCCCCTCTGCCCCCGGCCCCACTCACCATCAGCGCCACCAGCTCCTGCTGCAGCCTGCGGGGACAACGCGTTACGGGTCGCACCGGCACCCGCGGGCGGGGCAGCCCAACCGCCTCCGGCCCCCGGCCCGGCCTCACCTCTTCCCCACGGAGCCGCGGGCGGCCGTGGCTCCCGCCTCGGCCCCTTTGCGGGCGGCGGCGCTGGTCACGGCGGCGGGGTCGGTGTTCTGCGAGGCCATGGCGGTTCCGGGCCGCTCCCTCGTGCTCTCGCTCGGCCGCTTGCTAGGCTGGACTCGGCTCGGCCCGCTCCCGGTGTGGCTCAGCTCCGATCCCGGGTCCCGGCCCCGCTTCCCCTGCCTTCCGTTCCGCCCCCGCTCCCGCACTCCGTTTGAATGTTTCAAACTCGCGACGCCTCCGCCAATCAGCGCGCACTTCCGCTCCCGCCAGCCAATCGGATACAGCCAAGAACGCGGCTGCTACGGAAACGGCGGGTAGACCCGGAAGAGGCAGGACAGCGCATGCGCGAAAGACCCCCGACCCCCCCCCGGTCTCAGTGGGCCCTTAAAGGGACAGTGGCGTGCCCCCCCCCCCCGCCAGCAGGCGTGGAAACGGGTGCGAAGCAGTGGCTTTTATTGTGGGGCCGGGTGCAGGTCTGCGGGCTCGGGATGGCCTTCGGGAGGACCCTCAGGAAGGGCCTCGGGGGGGATCTCAGGGGGCGGCGGTGGGTCCCCCCCATTGCGAAGCGTCTCCATGTACTTCTGCATCTTCTCCGTCATCCAGGCAGGTGGGACGAAGGGCTTCAGCTCCTCCAGCCGCAGGTCCACCGAGTCCCTGCGGGAGAGCGGGGTGAGTGCAGGTCACAGGCTCTTGGGGCAAGCGAGGCCTCACGGGGTCCCCAGCACGGGGATCCATCTGAGTGAGCCCACTGTTTGCAGGGCCCGGGGCCTCACCTGTAGTCATCGGTGGCCGCCAAGTCGCGGATGTCCTCTTCCAGCAGGAGGTAGGCCTGCAGCAAGGCGAGACACGCGCTGTGCTTCTGCTGGGGTCTGCGGTGCCCGCAAGGCAGCTCTACCACCCCATCCCTGCGTTCCTGGCTCTCGCGCCTGCCCGAGCCCCGGGAGCAGCAAACGTCTCTTGGCCGAGGTGCCCGAGCCCTGCCTCTGCCTGTCCTGCCACGTGGCCCTGCCCGTGGCGTGCTGCCTGCCTCTCTGCTCCTCCGCCCCTGTCCGACCTGAGCGGGTTTCCGCACAGTTCTTGGGCTGCAGCGGGCACAAGCCCGGGCGTACTCACCATCTTGCCCCCAGTGGCCCTCATGTGCTGCTGCTCTGCCAGCCATTGCTTATCCTGCGGGTCGGCTGCGTACTGCAATAAAGCAGCAAGGACCTGGCTGAACACAGGACACAGACCTCCCACCTGGACCCCCCTCCTGTGGGGCACAGCCCATTCCAGTGCTCTGCTGCCAGCACCTCACCCCCGCAGCGTGGTGCTAGGGGCTCCCAGAGGGAGGGCTTAGCCCTGCCTGCTCTCCTCTCAAACAAAACCCTGACTCTAGGCAAAACCAGCACCTGAGATGCTGTGCTACCATTAACTTATGTTTTAGTGTGCTGGCCAGGTTGTGTGTACGTGTTCTAAGACAACAAATGGGATGTGGGGAGGAAAAACCAAGCGAGCCAAAGCACGCGCTCCCAGTTCCCATCACAAACTGCTTCTGAGCAAACCCCAAAGGAGGAGGCATCCTGCCGTGGTATCTGACCTTAAAGAGGTGGGGATGCTTGATGTAGAGTCGCCCTCTTGTTCCTCCCATCCCGAGAGCTCTGAAAAAAGAACACAAGGGGGTGTTACACTGGGGCAGAGGGGCCCTGCAGCAGAACGGGGCACCTCCTCTCCTCCCAAGACCCCAGCCCTTCCTACTGCTTTCGAGGCAGAGAAGTGAAGTGATGGGAGGAGTCTTACGGGCTCCTGCCTGGGAGACACCACCCTCCATCAACAGGGCCATTCCTTACTTGTTTGCTCGAGATCCCAGCACAAAGGTTGTGGTTTCAGTCAGTCGGGATGGATCCCACTACAGAGCAATTGGAAAAGGGGCAACATTAGAAATGAAGCTGGTGCCAGCCAATGCTCCATGAGCCTCAGCTCTCTGATGGGGAACCTTAAGAACTGCCCCCTGATTTGGGAAGGAGGGAGGTAGCCACAAACCTCTGGATTGCCACAGAGGAAGGAAACTGCATCACTTTGGGCTGGTCTAAGCTGTTCCCCTTGTGGGAAACACTTGTGGGATCCTCCTGGCTATTACTAAGGCTCTCCCCATGTCTCCTAACAGCTGTACCACACCACAGAGCTACAGTGTCTGGAGGAAGCAAGCAAAGGCTTCCAGGCACTGTAAAGACTCAGCAGGGTAGGGCACAACTTAGGACTGTCCTGTGCTGCCGCTGCAGGCAGGGCTCTGCTAGCGGAAGGGAAGGGAGGAGAGGGTGAGCCCAGCAGCAGCAGCCAGCCAATACCTTTGGTCCATCCCTTCTCACAGGCTCAGAGACTTTGAGCTTCCACCTGAAGGGAAGGAAAGTGAAATGAGAATAGGTCCTAGAAAGATCAATGCAGACAGAAACCTCCCAGTGGCAGGAATCTGAGCTTGAACCCTTCCAGATCCACCCTCTCCCATTTTCCACCTCGCTCTGGACCCTCATCTCTGCTGTGTTCCCCGCTACCATCTGTGTCACACACAGCTCACTGAATCATCCACCCGGTTCTGTGCATCCCGTGGCCCTGTTTAAAGCTGTTTCCTGGAAGGCTTTCACCTCCTGTGACTCAACCTCAGCCAAAACTTTCTTGCCCTCTGACATCTCTCCCTGCACCTCTCTTGTGCAGGGGGAAGGAGACCACAGGTTTTGGTGCCCCTTACTTGAGCCAGTTTTGCTTCCCGCTGCCCCCTGAAGCACAGGAAGCAGCTTGAGGCCAATACTCACGCAGACATGCCTGAGGCCCCACGATCATTTGACAGGCTCTGTCCTGGAGGCCGTCCCTTTCTCTGCATGGAAGAAATCCTTCAGTCATTCAGTAGTGCAGTTAGAGAGGACCCTTTTAATTATCTGTTCCCTCCTACAGAAGCAGCTATTTTTACCAGGAGCACAATACCAGCATGAGAGCAAGCAACTCTGAGCCTTCACAAAAGACATTCACACTTGCACATGCTCATACTGTGGTAATAACCAGGAGCAAGAAACAGGTCTCCCAAAAGCATAAAATCTCCCATGTGGAAAACCCTCCTACCTTTTTGGGAAGGGGGCTTCCTCGACGATTCAATTCCTCATCTATCAGTCGGGCACGCTGGAAGAGGAATGGTGGGAGGATGGAGACGAGCCCTTCTCCCATCCCAGTCAGGCAGGACCCCATGCACACAGCTCACAGCTCTCATTTGCTGACTCAAGGCAGAGAGCACAAGGGCACAGAGAAACTCTGCAGCCACCCCATAGCAGTGTGAAGCACTCAGATGCTGTGCTCGTGGTCTGCATTGATCTGTAGGTTACTTTTTCCCACAAGACTAACATTTCCCAGCTCCATCTCCTCACTTGCACAGTTAATGGATAATTCCAACCCAGTCATTCTATTCCTCCCAGCTATAACAAATCATTTAATCTTCTGGGAACAATAACAACTTTTACCTTTGGTCCCATCTGCTCATGGGGCAACCTGGACACAACTTTTTTGCCATCAGAGAACAGCAGCTTGGCCTGCAAGAAGAAAAGGAAGGTTACCTGATTCTGGGTGGAAAGGGGGTCTGCCAGCAACCCCTGCTTCACCCTGTGACAGAGGATCTGTGTGCAAAGGCACCTGTGCTGATAGGAAAGCCCCAGGCCACGTGAAATGTATAAGCCACATCTAAGGATCAAACTCTTTGTTGACAGCTGGCCACTACAGACTCTAAAGATTTGGGTATATCTGCCCCCAAGCCTTGTCCCAGAAATAGTTTCAGAGCACTTTCACGTGTGCTTGTGCCCACCTGCTCCAGGCAGCTCCGACACGTCTCCTGGATGAGCTGCTCTGGGTCCACCTCCTCCCCAACGTTGTCACGCACATTGAGTGCTGCCTTCTGGAAAAACTGGGGAAGGAGCAGCAAGGTGTCAGCAGCCAGGTGAGCTCTGGCCTGGGTGCAACGCCCAGCTCCCCTGCTGCACCCAGAGCAGGGTGTCCAGAGCCGGGCCCTGGCTCCCAGTCCTCTGAGGCGCTGTGGCTGTGCCCTGTACAGCTCACCTTCATGTACTTATTGAAGACGCCCCGGATCTCCTCGTTGATGCTGGGTTGCAGCACCGCTCGCAACAGATCCATGGACACGACCGGGTCAGTGAAGCTGTGGGAGCAGACGGGGAGTCAGGCGAGGTGCTGGCACCGGCCCGGCAGCCCCACTTCGCTCCCCGCAGGCCCGGCCCGGCTCCACCCCTGCGCAGCCCGCTCCCGGGGTCCCAGCCCGCCCGTACCTGGTGGTCATCTGGGAGCGCCGGCCGCGCCGCTGCACCTGCCGATGCTTGATCATGATGTTCCATGGGCTCTGCGGGACACAGCCGTCAGCCCCGAGCCCGCCGCCCGCCCACTCGCCCGCGCCGCCGCCTCCCGCCCGCCTCACCGTGCCGCCCGGCTGCTCCTCGCCGCCGCCCGGACCCTCCTCGCCCGGCGGCCCGGACTGCTGCTCCCCGTCACGGGCGGCGCCCATCGCGCCCCGCTCCCGGCCCGCGGCGCCGCTCCCGGAAGCGCCGTGCTCATTACGTCATCGAAACGCGACCCGCGGCGCGCGCCGGAAGTGGCAGCGGCTTCCGGTGCGGGCTGCGGCCCGGGGCGGCTTCCGGCAGGTGGGTTCGGCGGGGCGGTCCTGCCTGCTTCCTGCCCGCCGCCGCTTCCTGCCGGCCTCCTCCTCGCTGTGCTCCCCGCGGCCCAGCGCTGAGTACCGAAGCCCGGTTTCTCACCCCGTGTTCCCACTCGAAGTGTGGAGGAGGCACGGTGACTTCCCCACGCCTTGCTGGGCCCCAGTAGCGCTGCACAGCAGCGGAGGTTTTTCTGTTGGAATGACAATTGTAGGTTTCTTTGGTAGGGAAATCTGTTGTGTTGGTACTTGGATGCTTTCAAGCCAGTTATAAAATAAAACTAAACGAACTGGAATTCGGAAGGATGGGAAGCATCGGTTGTCTGTGACAGTCTTCCATTGCAAAAACCCAAACCAGCGATGCTCTCAGCAGCAGCACACAAACAGCAGTGTGACACTGCCCTGCTGAGCTCCTGGGGCACAGCTCGTGCTGCTGGGTTTGACCAGACCGGCCTCCGTGTGCTGCTCCATCGCTGTGCTCCAGCGCCAGGGGCACGGAGTTGCTTCCTGTTCACTGTTCCTGCACTGTAGTAGAACAGCCAAGTATGGAGGTGCAAACTGGGGACTCAAATCTGTGCAGAGCAGGGCCTGTGAAATTCACCTTACCAAAATGCTTATTTCTGTACACAAACATGCTTGTAAAACATTTGACTTCCTCATTCTCTAAATTGTGACCAACATTTGGATCTACAGAAGTGTAAATGTGCCGTAGTGACAGCTCTTTTCCAAAGGAACCTGGGGTTGCAGCAGAGCAGTGTGGCAGTGCCCTTGGAACTGCACGGTGGTGCCCCTGGGAGCTCGCAGTGGCTCTGGGAGCTGTGCTGTGCTGCTCCTTGGGTCGTGCCCTGAATCACTGCCACGCGCACCAGCTGAATTCATCCCGTGCCTTCGTCATTTTTGAGGTAGAAAGGAAGTAGATAGTAATCTGTGGTTAAAGACTAATGGAGATAATTGCACAGTTATCATCACCAGTGCCAGCAACACCTCTCCTGTGGGGTATTTGGAGGACAACGTCAGTGCCACCTGCAGCAAGTGCACCGCTGGGTACCGGTGTCTGCTCTTGCACCAGGCAGAGACCCACAAGAGACAGCACCCAACACCGTGCAGAGCTGCTCTGCATGCTGTGGCTTGGAGGGCTCTGGACAGCACAACGGGTGGCAGGGAATCATGGTGAGGTGGGTCTTGGGGGAGCTCTCACAGTGACACCACCGTGCTGAGATGTGGGGCACAGGGACTTCAGCGGATAGGGGCGGTTCACAGGGAAATAGCTCCAGAATTGAGTCATAGCCACGAGGAGTGGAAGAAACCTGTACTTCGAGCTCATTTCTTGCAGTAAGCCTTCTTCCCACGCAAGTTTGGTGGCATGCAGGCCCTGCACCTTCCCACTGCCGAGCACATGGCCCCCGTGCTGCCCATGTGTGGCCTTTGCCACCATCTGGATGAAGCTTTCTGGAGCAGGAGCTTTGCCTTCTGAGTTTTCAGAGTGGTGTGCACTTGCAGTGGTAGAGATGTTATTTGTGCAGGGCAAAGAGACACAAACATGGTGGCACACTGAATTCTTTGTTCACTCTCAGTGCAAGCCCAGGACAGGGGCTGGCAGCGTGGAGCTGAGCTGCAGTGCCTGCCTTGGGCAGCTCTCCTCCACATAGCACTGTAGTGCTCTGCGTTCTGTCTGCCAGGAGACATTTATTCCTGCTGGTTTTAAAGTACACTGACATTCAACCCTGCACAGGTGGAGCTGAGCTCCTCCAGGGCGATGGAGGGAGGGTTATCCCCTCCCTGCAGCTCCTTCACAAGCTCGTGGAACTGGGAAAGTGCCCCCGGGGGTGAACGAAGCTCTTTGACGTCATGAGCGCCCATTAAGAATTTATGGGCCGAGAAGCGGAGCAAAGGGAACCTCGAGGAGGGCTGACCGCAGTCCGGTGTTCCGGCGTCTCCTTCTGTCCCGCTGCTGCGGGTGCCCCACGGTGCACGCAGGACGTGGGAGGTGCCCGGGGCCGCCTCTCTCTTAAATCCCGGCGCTGCACCGGGCGGGCAGGGTGCTGGCAGCATGAGGGCGGGCGGTTGGCTCCTGCTCGGGCTGCTGGCCCTCGGCGCCCCGCTGCACGCCGCGCCCGCTGCAGGTGAGCACGGCCCCGCGGCCAGGGCGGCGCTGCGAGGTCGGTGAGGCGCGCTGTGCGGATGGCTCTGCTTTGCTCTTTGTGTCTGAGCACTTTCTGTGTGTTCAGACCTCCTAAAGCTTTGGGTTCTGCACAACGCTAAATGCCATGCAAGTTCGGTTCAGAGCACCCCGGCTGCAGACGCTTCTCTTGCTTTCTGTTACTTCCTTCTGACGCTGCTTTTCTGGCGCTGTTAGCTGGGACCGGGGCTCCCCATACCCGGAGCGCTGGAGGATGCAGCCCGGCTCTGCCCGGATGGGGCTGGTGCCAGGGGGGTTCTTTGCCTCGAGGCTGAACCCTGCTGAGGACAGAGCCCGCAGTGGCACCGGCACGCAGCCGCAGTGCTGGGGAGATGCTTCCTTCACCCCGACCTGTGCCATGGACTATATGCACGTTCCAGCCACGCTCCCAGCAGCCCCTCCGAGGCTTTCAGCCTGCGAGTGCATTTGCAAGAGGGGAAATTCCCATGAAAGAATCATCTTTCCTCCTTACTTTTCTTTTTCCCTCAAGAAAAATGGCCAACTTTCAAAGAAATGGAAATCACATTTCTTTCTGTACGAGCAGCAAGCTGATTTTAGAGCAGTGTTTAAAATTCTGCCCGTCTCCTCTTCCAGAGCACTCAACTTGCAGCTCACTACAAGTTGGGCTGTTTGATGTTTAAGCTCAGACTAGCAGGCAGTAACTGCTCAGTGTCAGCCAGACGTGCTGCTGCTCTGCAAAGAGGCGCTGGGGCCGCTGCACTGCGATGAAAATGTGTCTGCAGAAATACCTTCATCATCTCCTAAGTGCTCTCCTTTAGAAACTTGAATTTCTTTAGGTCTCGGATAAGTAGTGACTTGAAGCCTTTCGGCTTGCCAGCTGTCAGTGGCTGTGATGCCTTCCTTCCTAATGTTTTGGTCCCATTCCATTTTAGAGAGAAGCTGTGAGGCAGGCAATGTGTGTCAGCAGTGTGCTGTGCTATCTGTGTGTGTTTTCTTGCTATTGCTTAACAAAAAACCGTGTGCCCTTGCTTCACAACTATGCTCAGTGCCTTATTTATGCCCTGGTTAAATAATACGCAGCATCTTCATTTCATTTTGCTAAGAACTTGCTGCCGTCGGTGTTTCATCTTTCTCCATTTCCTCCATCAGGAAGGTGTAGCCCAGGGCTGCACGGAGCAGCAACCATCCTCCCTGTGACCAAGCCGCCGGTGGCGGTGCCAGCAGACACCCGATGTAGGCAGCAGGACGGCGCCCAGAGCCCATCTGTGCAGCAGCAGCCGGGGGCAGAGCAGGGCAGTGCAGAGCAGCACCTGCATGAGGAGCGGCCGGCGGTGAAACCTGAGCCTGAGAGTGGAGAAGGGAGCAGGGAGAAGCCAACAGCGGGCAGCACACCTACAGCGAGGGAAAAGCAAGAGATCGCAAAGAAACCCAGCGTGGGGAAGAAGCCAGGGTGTGAGGGGAATGGTGGGGCGGGGGAAAAGCCAAAGATAACGCCAGGAGCAATGGCAAAACCGGGGAGTGGGGGTGGGGGGAAATTGGAGAGTGGAGGGAAAACTGAGAGTGGGAAAAAGCCAGGGACTGGGGGAAAACCAGAGAGTGGAGAGAAACCCGTGCTGGGGGAGAAGCCGGAGGTGGGGGGAAAACCGGAGGCTGGGGGGAAGCAGGAGAGTGGGGAGAAACCCGAGTCGGGAGAGAAACCGAAGTCCGAGCATGGAGACGGTGAGGAGGGTGATGACAGTGATGACGACGATGATGACGATGACAGTGATGACGATGTTGATGAGAAAAAAGGGGATGAGGATGATGAGGACGATGACCATGATTATTACTATGGCTACAATGATGACGAGGGCTATGATGATGACAACAATGGTGATGGTAACGATGGCAGTGATGACTATGGTGGAAATGATGAGAATGACTATGGAGATGACGATGGATACGGTGACAGTGATGACTGAAGATTACAGTGCTCAAGATGGCAGCGATGCTGGCAGCAGTTGCCACAGTGATGCTCGGTGTGCAGGGCACAAGGTGTGAGGACAGCCCAGGGCAGGTGGGCACATGGAGCTGCCCCCAACCTCCCTTCACCTCATTCTGCCAGGGCCAGTCCTGTACACCAGCGCTGTTTTGGGCAGGACCTTCTATTTCCTAATAAATCCCACAGTGGACCACTTGTTCAACTCTACAAGCTGTCCCTTGTCACAGTGCCTGGCATCTCCAAGCCATCTGGGAGCTTGCAATGGATGTACCATTCCCAGCTTCTTCCATAAACCCAGAGATGGCCCTGACACGTCACAGCCTGGGTGAGCAGCCTGGTGTGAGGGCTCTGGGCAGGACGTGTGTGCTGACCTCAGAACCAGCTGGCTGCCATGGCACTTTTCTCCCACAGGGGCTGGGGGTACAACCAGGGTTCACCAGGAGACTGACACCGCAGGAACCAGCAGAGCTCATTGCAGATGGGCTTTAATAGTAAGAAAGAAGTACAGAGACCCCCATGCCCAGTTCTGAGCTGAGGGTAGAGGGGTGGATTTGGGGTGGGGGATGATGGGTGCTCGCTCTGCAGTCGATGGATGAGTCCATGTCCGGCTGCCCGGCTATCTGACACGAGGCTGCACAAGTGGGGTCCTTGGTCCAGGTCCAAACAGAGGCTAGATGAACCCTGGGGAGGGATAGGAGTGCCCTAAGCCTTTGGCACACTGGGCCATCCCCGAGTTTGCTGGTCATGGTGCAAGGGTGTTCTCTGCTGTGGGGACACAGCATCCCAGGCCCTCCCCGTAGCCCCGTCCCATACTCACCTGCAGCCACCAGCCGGGCCCAGAGGCAGCAGAGCCCCAGCAGCAGCAGCAGCGACAGCACCCGCATGATGCAGGGATGGCAGTGTTGAGGCCACGTCGAGTACAGGCAGGGCTTTAAATCCTCCCCAGGACAGGGGCTGGTGCCAATGACCGTGTCCCTGCCACAGCTTCGTCCAAGCGTGACCCTCACATCCAGGGACTGGTGCTGCTGGACACAGCAGGCAGGGAGCATGGAGGTAGGGGATAGGGGCTGGCTGCCTTGCTTTGGGCTCTGAGCAACCCCAAGAACTGAGCTGTGCCATGATGTGCTGCAGCGCCCAGCATGCCAGGGATGAGTATGGGGCCAGGTGGGCAGCGGGGCTGGGGACCCCACTTGGGGCTGGGCACTGCAGGGCAGGTGGAGGAGGCTCCTGGGCCAGGCGGTGTGGAGCAGCCCGTGGTGCCCTGGCAGCTCTCAGGGCATTGTTCTGCCACCAGGAACAATTGCTGGCTCCTGAGGGACGTCCTGTGACTGGACATGGTCCATAGCCTCGTTTTGCCCGAGCCTGGCTCTGTGGCTGGGGGCTGAGCTCAGCTGGTGGCCACCAGCCCCCCACTCTGGGGTGCCGGCGGGTCCCAGTGCTGAGGATGGGGATTGGAAACGGTGTGGGAAGCCAGGATGGGGGCCTGAGTGCCTGTCACACTGTGCTGGAGCTGCCTCTCACCTCCTACTCCATCCTCAGCCACAGCTCTGAGCTGATCCTCAGCACAAGCCCTGCAGTGACAGCTCAGGTCCCGGCTCTTCCCACTGAAGCCCCCCAGCACTGCAGCCGTGCTGTCCCAGGAGCTGCTGCTCCACCATATGCAGGACACAAAGTGTGGGCATGGCAGTGCTGGGGTTTCCCCTGCAGCACCAGGTGCTGGCAGCAGGATTGCTGTGTCAGGCTGTGCAGGCAGGCTGCTGGCACGTGTGTGTGTGCGTGTGCGATGCCAGCTGGGCACGTGTGTGAGCGTGCAAGCCACGCTCTGTAAGCACATACACGCATGTGCACAGCCCGAGCTGCTTATGTGCTGTGTGCCCAATGAACCGTGCACACACGTGTGTGTGTGTGCTGTCTGAGCTGCCTGCATGCACAACAGCACGTTTGCTGTGGGGAGGGGAGCAGCCGGGTGCAATGACATCGCTCCTTGCCCCTGCCCAGTGTGGGCTATGGGGACAGACCCTCCCCGCTTGTGTCCTCCCCAGGGAGAGTCGGTGCTGATGGGTTCAGTGCGGGGCCAGCGGGCGTTGCTGCACTGCAGCACCCACTCTGCCCTTGGCTCTGCCCTGCCATGCCCAGGGTGGCACAGCCCTGTGGCCTGGTTCCTGCCACCCTGGGAGGTGCCACATTCCTGGGTGCTCTCTGAGCTGGCCCGATCGCTATTTCTGCTAAGGTGGAGGTCTGCCCAGCACTGCTGTGAGTCAGGCCGAGTGTCCCCAGGGCAGGGCAGGATGGGGCTGTCCGTGCAGCTCTGCAGCTCTGGGCATTCCCCTGTGTGGTTCCCAACTTCTCCCTGCCCGGAGCCCCCTGGTGCTGTGAGCCCCAACGTCCCCCACTCGGCCCACTGGACAGAGGGGGCCATTCTGGAATATGATGTCGGTGGTTGTAATGACTGCTTGGGTAGGTGAGGTACTGCAGAGAGATAGTGGTGGAAAATTGTAGCCCTGTGGATTTTGGTTCTGTGGCCCTGCCCTCCTGCTGGGTGGTGGGCTGGAAGGTCCTGTGCAACTGGGGGATTTCTCAGATAGCCCAGGATAGTGGGAGAGGCGTGGGCTGAGCTGCAGTGGTGGGGAGGTGGGGGCCATCCCATCCCCAGCCTGTGCCACTTCTCTGGTATCCTGTGCCCAGACATTGCTGGGGGTCTCAGTCCTCTGAGATTTGGGGGAAAGCTGCAATGGGGCAGAGGCATGTGGGTGGCACCTCCCTCTGGACCTCACCTGGGTCCAACTTTCCTGCCTCTCCCCGCAGAGCTTTCCTCTTCCTTGACTTCCCCATGGGACAGTAATTACAACAGTAATTAGGAAGACAATTATTCCTGCTGAATGGGAAGAACTTAATCTGCTTCTCTCTGCCTCTGCTGGTTTCACCTCACGCACACCCACGTGCACCAGGTGCTGCTGGGTGCTGGGGTGTGTGCACTGCCCCGGGTCTGTCCTGTTGGTGTCTGCGCCAGGGCTGCAAGGAGCTGCAAGCAGGTGGGGGGCAGTGTCCCCATCCCAATTCCATCCCAATTTCCACCCCCTTCCCCATTCCC